ACGTTCCCCTAAAGAAATAATATATCTAAAAAGAATTAAAAGGTTGTAGTGTTTTAAATCTTTAATGGCTGAAATAAATAATCGTCAAATCCACACTTGTGAATTTTATCCTTGTTTTGAATATTCTTGAATAATTGATTTGCCAGAGAAGTATATCTTTGCCTTTATTTACGATAAAATCTTACATGCTTATGCATCGTACGCCGGCCAAGAACCACCGACATTTCTTTCCATTGGAACGTTTACTTGGATATTTATGTTCCCTACATATTATAAATTTAAAAATATATATATATCAATAAAAATGTGTTTTAGAAAATTTATTGTTTTCAATTATAGATACATGTATTAAGACTTTGAATTTGTGTGTGTGTGTGTGTGTGTGTGTTTGTAATGTTTTTACTGCATGTAATCTATACTTTAGTTTAACAAAATTAAAAAAAAAATACTTCATGAAACATTCTGGATGTTATTTTTAGGAATAATATTATGAATATATATTACATTGACCTATAAGTATGATACTTTTATCTTCTTTAGTTTAGTTTGATTTATTTTTTCTAGTATCTTATTTTATTTTTGTGCTCAAGCGAGATGTGATAGCTGAACTGTACTGACCATGAATCGCAACTCAACAATTACCCGGAGTCTAACACAGATGCCTTAACGACGTTCAATCCTGATATCTAAAGTCTTAAACTTTTTTTGCCAACTATATTTTGAGTTTCTACATACATAGCTTAATTAAAATTCAAATCAAAAAATGGGGGTCAATGTGCTTCTTTTGGCGCTACAGTACATTTGATATGACCTTTTTGCACTGAAATTTGTGTCTTAAGGTCAAGATCTAGTAAATAACTTTAGACTAATTTTTTGGTGCTAGATCCATTATGACGTCATAATCAATTTCAACTTTCTTTTTCCCGTACTTTACGGCTTTAGTAGAATTATGTAGAAAAAATGGTATTTTCATGACATTTAATTTGAAATCATATGAAAAGTAAACCGGATACCTATATTAAATTTGATATTGATTTAAAGAAGAGGCCACGAACATACTAATTAGCGTTTTCTGAGAGACTGTAGGCAATCTGGATACATTTCCTCTGTCGAATATGAAAAAAACTCCCATATTCATGACTGGTTTTCTTAATTTTTCATTGAAAATGACAGTTTAAAATACAGTTTTTAATCTTGTATACCTACAAATTATTCCCCGAAACACCTTATTTGACCAAGCTAAAGTTGTAAAGCATCAATAAAAGAATTTATTTCTCAAATTTGATAAACCTGTAGGCACCTTTCATTTACTAGATCTTGACCTTAATTAAAAATTACATCTTCAACGTTTCCCTCAAATATTTTTATCCAATTAAAGCTTGAAACAAAATGAACTGTAAGTCTGTTTAAAAGAAGACACTTTAAAATTGTGACTAAGAAAAGGTTTCAAATTTCTTCGCATAATCAATTATTTGACCTTTCTGCACTAATAAAATGTGATTTTTCAAGAATTGCAAATTTAATAAGCAAGCAAATTATTTTAAAGTCTTAAACTTTTTTTAAATTTAAGCAGATAGGTCAAAGTTATCTTGAATATTTAGAAAAGAACATCAAAAGTGGGGGTATATGATGTAAATTTTCAGATATTACTTAAAAAGTGTCAATTTTACGTTAAAATTGGCTCAATTTTTCCCCGGATTTTCAGAATATGTTTGCTATATTTGTCACACTTTTTTGATGGAATTCATAAGAAATAATTTAATAGATATTTCAGAACCAGCATAACACATTTCACTGCAAAAAACAGCTCTGTGTGCATCCAGCATTGAAAAATAGGAATACAAAATTAACAGTACTGTTATAGTTAAAAAGGGAAAAATTTAATCGCAGTTTTTTCATTGAATATAGATCAGTAGATGCATTGTATTATTCAGATTTAATGTTAGAACTTAAAAATGATTGCAGAATTTTATAAATAAACGACATGACCAAAATCCGCTCAAAATTTCAGGATCGAACGTCCTTAACGGGTCTTTTTGAATCAATTGAATGAGTGAATCAAGTAAGTTAATTAATCATTGGACCGTAAATCTTGTGCTTACCTCTTTTTTATAATTCATTGTTGTGTATAAAATAAAAGTATACTTAACATTAAATTTACAATAACTACTTTGCAAATTAACTTTTAATTGACAATTTTAGGTGTTATTGCTAAAAATCTTTAAAAACAATTTTTGAGTTGATATTTTCCGGTAAATATTCCTGCTACATGTATAAAGTTCAGGGTAAGAAATGTAAAATATTTTTCACTTAATTTATTTCATGTTTTAATGGAAATTAATTAATGAGATTTGTGTCGATGTCACGCGTCAGTGGATTCTTGTGTTAATTACGTTTCATTTGACATGACTTGTCTGATGTCACTAAGTAAATAAACGCAGACACCTACATTGTATGTGAAATATACATCGCGTAGAAGGAAGAGATTACCCTTAATATTTCAGCAAATGTGTCAAGTCGTCATCATTTTTCACTTTGACCACAGAAATGTTTGCAGAATTGCCCTGACATGGTTAAAAGTAAATGTCGTCTTGGCTACTGGTTCTCTAGTTGTGACCGTTACCACATCAGAGCTCGAGACAGAGGCTGAGACATTTTTCATAAAATACTCGACAAGATGTAAGCAAATGCACCGTCAAGCTTAACACTTATAATACTAGTATAAGGACCGCTTATTAACTGATTTTTTTTTTATGTGTGTGTTTTTACTGGGGATGGGGGTTGAAAATCTAATATTACATAGTTTATATAAAATACCTCCAGTCCAAAAAATCATTAAATCAAATGAAAGAAGCTAAACCTATTTATTGGTAGTAAGATTGCCCCCCTCCCCAATCCTAATAGAATTTTGTATTTTTGTAAATAAATATAGCTTTCAAATTTCAACGACGTACGTGAATGTTGTTATTTTTACACAATGGCTTGTTTTATTATTCAGGGATCCTTTTTACCTTTGAATGTGTGTGGTCATTTGACGATAAAATTCCGTTAAATATCTTAGAATATGTAGTAAGGACCATGTTAAAAACATTGTTTACAACGATGCACTACAGTAACTGTAGCTGCAAATGACCTTTGGGCAATAAAATAAGCGTATCCATTGACATTCCTAAAGCTCATTCAAGTAGTCTCGGTTATAAAAATATCAAACCGGTAGTAGTACTCTGGTTCATTAGGATAACTTATTAATTAATTGCAGCTGAATGACAGCACAGAATAGTCGTCTCCGGGTTAAGTAAGTTAGGAAATAAAAAGAGCGTTAAGCTTTCAGGAATTTATTTTCCCCGAATTGTGTCTCCCGGTATAACAGAGTATATAGCATTCCTACGTGGTTGTTCGAAAACAGAAAAATCGTTTTTCATGTACCTATGTATTAATTCAGACGTTTTAAGTTAAGGATAGAGTACGGGGAGGGTGGGGTGAGGGTGTATAAAGTTGTCTGTCGAATTTTTTGAATTTTTAAACAAAAGCTTTTGGGGCCTTTCTTTTGAAAATGATATAATTTTATAACATCTTTAGATGGGATTGAATATTATAGTATCTTTGAAAATGTATTGGGTTCATTTGTTTTACAAACAAGAAGGAAAAGAATCATTAATTTAGAATGTTAATCAACAGAGAGTGAGATAGTCTCCTGGATGCCAATTATGAAAGACCCTACGATCATTGGTTAATATATCTAAAAAATCATGATGGCGTTGTCATGATTGTATAAATAATACATGTGTAGGTGTGTAAACTATTTCTGAAGTAATAAAATAGATAATAATAGCTAATAATTTGACACTTGTTTATGACCCTATTCTGAACTTGCATATTCAGTACTTGTTATATGGTATCAATACAGCATATATTTAACAAATACACCATGTTAATTTGAACATATTTTATTGTTTAACATAAAAGGACCAGAAACTAGTTCTAACAACTTACACTGTACAAGCTCTTCTCCTGGAGTTAGTAAAATTGTGTCATTATAATAAAATAGTAAATAATTTTGGCAATTGATATGGGAAAAAATTGAAATGTTTATCAAATATTCCAAGTTATGATTGATTATATTTCATATATAGTAAATTTCAACTTTATCTACTGGTAGAAAATCAAAGTCTTCAACACAACGCGTAACTTGTTAATACAACTTCTTTTTTCAATTTACTTGGGGATGGGGTGTAAGCAAGGATGTCAGCTAAGCCCTCATTTTTTTTTGGATTTCCAAACTAAAGGCTTTGTATTTTTTTGAATTTTCTAAAATTCGTCAACGTCAAAGCATATATATTTAAATTCATGTGAAATAGAAAAAATACAATGACTTCATTATAATAAATAAATATTACTTGTAATGCATTAAATTGTTTACTCTCATCTTTATATTTGATCACATCAATTTCCAACTACTACATCAACTGATCTCATTGATTTTGAAAAAAAAAATTCTTTTCCCTATTCTATATACGAACATTTTTTTCCCCAATTTTCAAAAAAAAAAAGAAAAAAAAAAGAAAATAGAAAAAAAATTTAACGAAGAAAAAGAATGGAATGGCTAACATCTTAAACAGCGCACATCTCATTCTATGACTCATTAACACGTAGATTTGTTTAGAACAATAGACATTTTACGAAAAAATGTCCGTTTACAGAATTTTTCTTCGTCGAGAGTAAATGACCAAATAAGTTTTTTTATATAAGCCAATTGTGTATTCAGTAATAAACGGAAATCGTAGAGATCAACTGACAGTTATATTGGACGTTTATACACGGTTATTTTGATGGTGACATCTGACATGGGATCGTAGCACTGTCATTGCCACCGCGTGCGAATGGACGTGTAGTCGTTGCCAGCGAAAAAAAGTAAATCCAGCAGCGGTTGACAATCCGGAAATTTCAAAATTTCTGTTTTTGGTTTTTATTTTCGCCTTGAACACACTGCATGCTGGAACACTTAATTCATGAACGTATTTTTCAACAAAAATGAAGAATATCACGAAAGGACTTTTATTATTATTTTTTGGTAAGTTTTATTTATTTATTTATTTATGTTTAAGAATTTTATTCATTATCTTAATTTGATGAAATCGTGATTTTTGAAAAATTTAAAATAATAAAGTACATGTAATCAAAATCTTATTTTAGTTTTTTAATGTTCTTACATTAAAAAGGGTATGATAAGGAAATCTGAAACATTATTTTTGTATACATAAATAATGTCATTCTGTTTGTCAACAAACAAATTACTTAAAGTTTCTAAGATAGAAACAAGTTTAAAAATTAGAAAAAAAAAATAATGAAAATCTTATTCTTGAATAATTATCAAAAATAAACAATATAATAATAATAAATTTCAAAAAAAGGATAATGTGTTTTTACTCAGAAAAAGTATATCACATTTTTTTTTCAAACCGGATTAATTTTGACTTTATATCGTAATCATACAAATTTCATTATAAGGCAAATGAAAAAGTGTATATTTAAATAAAAAGGGGGGTTTGTTTCATTTTGACAAAACACAAAAATGACAAATATATATCCAGGAAATAAATTCCAAGAATACTAAAAAAGATGTAGTGCATGTTTTTCAAACTTTTCACTGTAAATGCGAGAGGAAAACTTTCATAATTGATTTTCAATTTTTAACACTGTATGCATCTTGGAAGAAAATCCGCAAGCTTATGGGCTTAGCTTACAAACTAATTAAGAAATGTTTATTGACTAATATTCTAGGTTTTAGGTAAAATGATAAAGTATATATAATGTAAAATATCAGTAAAAATTTAGATACATGTATTTATAATTCTATTTCCCTTTTTAAAAAAAGCAAGTTTGTGGCGCAAAGTTTGTTTCTCCAAGTTCTTTTTCCAACTTTTAATATAAACATTTGTTTTTTGCCGACAGTTATGTAACATCTTTTATCTTATGATGCCCATTAACACTAATTAATTATTCCTACAATGTATATTTTCTGCATTAGCTATTAATGGTGTGCAGAGCGGGCGGACATACCATTTTATTGCCTCTCATTTATGGGGTTTCGAACATAAAAGCAAGCTCTTTATTGTCAGAAAATGGTAAATAGATAAGTTAACGTGTCACAAAGTAATTTTCCATGGAAGGGAATTCGTTTTCAAACTGTTTACATTTTTTAAAACATTGTTTGTAAAACAGATATATGATATATCTTTGTAAATCAATTTTTTACATCCGTTGTCCGATTGTCAAAATGGGTTCTATTTTTAGACTCTGATTGATGGGGGCACTTGTCCAGGTAAAAATGTGAGTCGTTTATTAATTTTTAATCTGAGTTAAAGAGATTTACACGTTACAGGTCAATGAAAACAGTTTACTTCCGAATGAATATTAAATGATACAGATCTTTTTTATTTATTTCTGAATACAATTTAATGATATTGATGAAATTTGAAAAAAAAAAATTTTAACTTTTTGATTCACTTCACTTTTTTTTCTTTCAAAAAGGCTCAAAAGTTTAAAAAAGGTATGTTGCTTCTTTAAAGTAACCATACCAATTTTGAACGATCGAAATAAAAAAAAGTTAATAAAACTTTTTTTATTTAATGTAAGAATTTTCGGGAAAAAATATCCATTTATTATTTGAAAAATACACATATATCTTATTTATATACTTAACTAATCCATACATATCTGTTTCCTTACAAAACCCCTTAATTTGGGAAAATTGCTCGTTGTTTAGTTTCTTCTTTGACGTTTCCACGTCTGCTCCCCACCACTTGGTTTGATGACGTCACGTCGCCAAACGACTATTGTGTGACTAGCACGTAACAAGATAAGTCCAGAAAGGGAACCTTACTTGAACAAGTATTATTGAAGCTGTTAAAAAGATATTTTTTTGACAAATGGACTGTGTGACGAAGCTTCAGGTAAAAATGGATAAATGAGATTAATAAATAAACCTTATGCTTTTCAGCAAAGAATAAATCAAAAAAAATTTGTGACAAGGTCTAGACTAGAAATGGAGAATTCCATTAAAACTTATATGAGAAAACCGGTCATTGTATTATTTTCATTAACGAATGACACGAATTGCTGAATGAACAAGATACGAACACACAATTAGCAATTAAGCTCGAAGACAAGCCATGTCGGACATACATGTAGCATCACAGAGTCATAAGATGGCCGTCTGCCCCTACTTTACCTAAGCACTACATAATCATGGGAAAAGCAAGTGACCATTTTTTTTTTTACTTCTCTTTAGGATAATTAGACCTACTTATTTTTATACTTCTCCCAAGGTAAATTAGACTAGAAGTAACAACACAAACTGTGGAAATGGTAATCTTTACCCACGAATTTACATCTCCATGAAAATTTATATATTTGTAAGCAAATTGATTCATGAAATCAACCGTATAGACGAGTATTCCAAGAACCAGGTAATTTTTTCCTTGCCCACGAAGAATATCGACCTTCACGAAATAAAATGATTCCACAGTATTCAGCAAGCTTGACTACCGGTATTACATTTTTCCTCGAGATCAACGCAAAATGTCAGACCATTTATCCATATTTGTTCGCCTGTCCAAAAGTCATACTGTAAATCACTAGATTGATTTTGATAAAAAAGGAGAAATTGAGGAAACTAAGTTAAGAAAACTAACTGCAAGAACGAAAGGATGGAAAAAAGAACTACTTCAAAGATATCACTCTGGCATATTTGCCTTCTTAATGAAGATAGAGAAATGAATAGCTTATCAAAAAATGTGCCAAAACAAAAGAAAAACAGGATATTACTTTGAAAATGATTGTATACTTGTGATTCTTGCATATCATTTAAACAGATGATAAATGGGCAATGATCTTCAGGGCTTCTTACTGCTTCTCTTATAACCATCTAAATTGCCTTTTATCTTAGGCGGCATGGCACCCACAAATTCTTCTTGTCTCCCACATGAACATTTTAAGGGTATGGTATCATAAGTTTCTTAATGTTTTTCATTTGAACATCTACAGTGGATTGAAACCTTTAGTTTCTTTATGTTTTTCATATGAACATCTACAGTGGAATGGTATCTCCAGTTTCTTTATGTTTTTCATATGAACATCTACATTTGGTTGTTACCCCAATTTCTTAATGTTTTTCATATGAACATTTACAGCGGGGGGTTATACTCTAATTTGAAAATGTTTTTCATATGAACATCCACAGTGGGTTGGTACTCCCAGTTTCTTTATGTTTTTTATAACAGTGGGTTGCTACCCCAATTTCTTAAATGTTTTTCATATTAAGCATCTACAGTGGGTTAATTGGTACCTCCAATTGCTCATTATTTTTCATATGAACATTTACAGTGGGATGCAACTCCATTTTGATAATGTTCTTTATATGAACATCTGAAGTGGGATATACTCCCAGTTTCATAATGTTCCATGAACATCCACAGTGGGTTATTACCCAAGTTTCTTAATTTTTATTCCACATGAACATCTACCGTGGATTGGTACCCAGAATTTCTTAATGGTTCTCTTAATGAACATTTAAAGTGACAAATTACCAAGGTCTCTTATTGTTTTCCCTATGATTTTTTTTGCAGACGTCCTGTTTGTTGTTCTTGAGGCACAGACGGCTCACGGTAAGTCAAACATATCTTGGGAATCGGTTACAAAATTTATTTTTATGTTTTGTGTAGACGGCTTTTTAATACGTTCTCACACGAGTCTCATGTAGAGTATATATATATAGTAATATACTTGGATCCGATCCCATCGTATCTCAACACTCAGCGACAGATGACGTCATTTTAAAATTCTTCTAAAGACATAAATTATTCAATAATTCTTTTTATAAACTTATAATTATTTTCAATGTAGTTTTCGTGGACAAATCGTGTCGAATGTTTTTTTTTAAAAAGAATTAGTGTCAAATATAAATCCCTGTGGTGACTCATGACGTCAGAGAACGCTGAGATTTGAGCTATCATGTTTTTTAAAACTCTATATCTGCATTTCGGTGGAGGAAAAATAAACTCTATCATTCCAAACTATTGAGTTTTTATCCTCTCATTATCTATTTATTGAATGTAAATAATGCTCTTTGCTTATATTGAGGAATACGATTGCAGTTGGGCAGAACAATCTGACGTCACGTGATTTCATGCATGCACTAACATTCCCTAATTTTTAACGTAGAACGTAATATAATTGCATGTATCAGTAGTGTTACCCCCAACCTTTCGAAATTTTAAAGAAATGCAGGTATTAATAGGGTGACTCTGTGATTTTCTTGATTATTGAATGTCATAAAGAAAATATATATAGAATGAGCACCTTAAACGATTTCAATTTTCAGTCAAATATGGCATGATTTGAAGAGAGCAATTCTAAACTTAACTGTGATGCACAACTGAGTTGTAACGAGTTGTAAGACTATGTTGTAGGGTTTGATTCGATGATTTCCTCTTGCGATCGGACCAAGTATTTCTAACCAAAAACAAAGAAAATCTAACAAAGTAACCTACTAAAACGTTAACAAAACGCTGACCTGTAAAACAAGTAGATAATTACTCAAGGTTAAAATTAATGTAGCACGAGGTGTATCGACTTTTTTCTGCATTGAAAAATCACGTGACGTGTATCAGAACTCATCAGCCAATCATATCTGCCCTTCTGCAAACGTACCTCGACAGGAACTAAACTTTTACCATTGCGGTTCAAAGGTCCTTACATGGCGGCGCAATTTGGAGGAGGGTTCAACCAGCCTGTTTACAACCAACCATACAATCAAGGTTACAACCAACCATATAACCAACCATATAATCAACCATATAATCAGCCATATAATCAACCATATAACCAACCATACAACAACCCCGGGGGTTACAACGCACCGACAATACCACCTACAACCGTTGCTACAACTAGTACCACACCAGGTACGACGGTAGAAACGGAATTCGAAGCCGAGGAAACCACTATACCGGCAATCACAACCACCACAACTACGACAGCAAAACCAACACCAGCACCAAAACCACGAAACAAGAGACCGCCACAGAATCGAGGTCGGTTTTCACAGAGACAGGAGCATCAACCAGAGCCAAGGCGAAACAACTGGATGGGGCCACCAAGAGGATATCCGAATATGAGACCACCACCAGGGCGACCTAATCAGAATATGCGAAATCAGAAACAACAACCACCTAGGAATTACATTCCCCCTAGTTTTCAGAGACCGCTTAAAGGGCAACCGAATCTTTATAAAACCCCTTCAAATCAACCCAATAGAGGTCAGCTTAAAATTATAAAAGGGACTGAAAATAATGACACAACCATAGCATTAAAACATATAAACAGTACAGTGTACTGCTTTCAGATTCTTATATGAGGTTCAGATATTGTGATATACAAACTTATTCAGAACTTTAAGTTGATAATCAGGATTTTGCATAACCAAAAAACAAAACTGTAATTAAGCTTATCCAGTCTTTTTCATCCTACAGGTCAGCAGTTCAGGAACAATGCTCCGCCTATGAAAAACCAGCCTGTGTCCTTTAACCAGCCGCCATATGGTGGTCCAGCATACAACTTTCAACAGCAGACGAGAGTAAATACAAACCAGTATCCACCACCACAAGCCAGGCCGCCTATGCAGGTTCCCATGCAACAGCAACCAATCAGGCAGCCACAGGTGCCCGCAATGCAACAAAGACCACCATTTCAACAACAGCAACAGAGAATGACAAAACCATCAAGCATAAACCAGAAACCTCTTGTTTCACCCAACATACCACCAATAGGGACACCAGCACCCAAGACAGTGGGAGAAACGTGTCCCACATATCGCTACACCGTAGATAATAATTTCGTCGAGTTCCACACAATACCCGGTAGCTGTAAAATGTGAGTATATATTGGCACACGTCAAGTTACATTAAACTATCAATATTTGTAGTAGCCAGCGTGCCTCGGTAGTAGAGCGTCACGGAGTAAGGAGTTGATCCTAACGTCGCAGATTTCCATCCACTGTGGGACTTGAAGACCGGTCCTACGGATGAGACCGTATAAACCTAGGTTCTGTGTCGCAGTAAATGCTAGCACGAAAAAGTGCTCAATGGCTCTGATTGCCGAGTATAGGACAAAAGCTCTATGCAGCTCTAGACCGGCAAGAGGTTGCGTCTTCACATGAGTGAAAAGTTCTCGAGGGGGACGTTAAACAACAAAAAGTCATATAAAATCTTCTTTGAACACCATAGCCAGGTTCTTTTATATTGAATTTTAGGGTGTGGTTAAATGCAGTGTTATACTTTTGTTGAGGGCAACATGCTTTTTGTTGAACTCATGAACGAACATTTACCTGAGGTATTTATATAGGCAAAGATTTTGGTATGAGGGACACCAAAACGCATATAGGACTTATCCATAAATAGGGTTAATGAAAATGTTTTGTTTTATCTTTTAATTTTTATTATGACGTATCTTGCACAGTCTTCAATGGTGTAGATATTGTTTCCCACACTCGGAAATGTCATATTGGTCCAATATTTCACCAAGCGGTTCAACATCGATTTGGTATTGACCTCTCAATCAAACGTTGCGTTGAAATGCACAGGAACTATATTTTTAGGTCGAACAATTTGTTTTACTGATACTATAGGAATTAAATACTACATATAAAAGTGATGTACTACATTGTTAAGGGAGGGAGCAGCATATTTTGCATGTAATGCCTAACACAATCAATTTTTGTTCTTGTTGTTAACTCGTTTCTTCTTTTATTTCAGACAAGTGATGTATCCACCAGGTGGTAATGGGTAAGTATAAAATTCTTCCTAAATGCATTTAATATTACAGTGAAAGTGTCTAATCCAACATGCAGTGGGCGACAAAATATGTGTTGGAAAAGACAGGGTGCTGAATTGTACAATGACAGTTATGTAAAGAACAGAAGGGAATTTAAATAAAGGTCGGAAGTTCACAGGGAAGCAGATTGCACTGGTGTCGGACAAGACATTTTCACTGTATAAATACAAAAATAGAGGGGAAGGTTATAAGTTTATGTTGGGTAAAAACTAAGTAACTATGTAGACTCATATTTATTCATGATGTGTCAATTTCTCTGTTTTTCGTTAAAACGAGTGGAGGCTGTACAGTGTACTGTATATATTTTGATAATTAATATTTATCATTATTTCTTTTCGTATCTTAAAATATTTCGTCAATAAAAATAAAACATTTGAGAAATTGAATTTAACGGTTTAAAGATTTTGGGGGGAGTGATTCAAAATTGAATGAATTTCACATCATAAACGGCTTAGATTAAAGTTTACCTTTAAGATAAGTTCAGTTTTGTTTGCTTTAAAGTTAGATTTTTTGTCACTACAACCTTATTAAAAAAAAATCAAAATTGCCACCTTTTTGTCATATGAAGCTCCCATCAAAATCTTTCAAAGCATGCATCAGATCATGATCAAAATAAATCAAAGTACTAGAAATACTCTAAATGCCTTAAAGCTAGGTTTTGATTTAAGATCACATGATCAAAGATCACATGTGTGCAGATATCGTAGGTATGGATATGCACTGGTTAACAAAAATGTAAAAAAAAAATATACAAAAAGACAAAAAATTCCAATAATAAGATGACTAGAGCTCACGATCCTGTGTCCACGATTTGTCCAAAATAACTGTAGGAACATGATGAATCGCCGACATTTTTATGGGGTTGGTTACTTTCTGGCAGTAAATGAAACATACGCCGTCTCCATAAACGACGTTTGAACTATTGTGCAAAGAGTACATTTTCGGAGATAAAAAACACATATAAGATGGCACGACATTGGAGATTGTGAAGTGTTAAGGTGGAATATTTTCATTCCACCATAATCGTAGATCTTTTATCAAGGGTTAATAAATTAACCACACATCTAAAGAATTGTCTGTTTTGCTTATCTTGGTACACGTAGATCATGTATCAGGCAAATAAAATAAAAGTACATTTCCGGCATTTTTCTGATCTAATTTTAAGAAATCTAATTACGGAATTTTCATTGAAATAATTGGGTGAAATTGAAATAATCTCTTTTCAGAGAAATATTTAAAGTTTTTTTTCACTCTCTAGTTTTTATCCATTTAATTATTTTCCTAAAGGATGTTGTAGTGTCTGAAAACGATGAGAAAGAGAGGCTTAGTCTAATGGGGGAGGGGAGGGGTTGATTTCTCTCTCTCTTTTTTTCTATATCGTTGTTTTACATACAAAGAATTCAATAAGCATCTATTCCATTTTAAGCTGTAATCAGAAACTTAAACTTCTGTTCTTAAAATTCTCATACAGCAGATTTCAAAGATAAATCTTAATCAAAAAGAATTATTCCCTCACTCTAATTTCACATATAAAATCTGAAAATCGTTTTCTTTGAAAAAGAGGAAAAACAGCAATACTATAAAATGTGGTTATCTTATTTTGTTCTTCAGACCCCCAAAGGTACAGTTTCTTGCAAAAGTTCCACTGAAGTAAAAGAAGAAGGATGTGAAGAAAGAAAAAAAAACAAATGCCAGAGGCAAAGTCTTGAATGCATGGTCATAGGAATTCTCTTTCTTTATATATACAGGATTATATATATACATGTATACATTTTCAAGGAAACCTATTTCCGCTTCATGACAGTGGTAAATCTTCAATGAATATCAAAAAGCACAAACCTGACGGTCGGCATCCGAAAGAGACTTTTCATTCTGTATGTGCAAATGGCGTGAATGACATTGTGTGTCGTGAATGTAGGTCCCATCATTTTTCATTTTCACCCACTCCATGCTTATTTGGATTATATCCGGTTCCGGAGAGAATCTACTATTGAAGGCGTTTTTCTGAGAGTATGAATACTCCTAATGACTCCACTATTACATCACATTTTACATATTAATTCATCCCCCCCCCCCCCAAAAAAAATATATATCTGCTTAACCAGTTAAAAAGTGTTTAAAAACCAGATTTTTAATCCAACTTTTCACAAAGAATACGATTTTCTTCGCTCATGCGATCATATATTGCACACCGCCTTAATTCTGAGGCAACTTGGTATAATATGAAGTGTTCTGAATATTCATAGTGTCTTCTCTTTTACATGTTACGATACAATTTACAATGAAGTGCATTGAAGTGGTAAAATTTTCCGTTTGGACAAAACGTTCTGAGTCATGTTTTGAACGTCAATTACAATATAACGACACGCCTATATTTTTAGAAACGAGAAAGAAATCTTCGTCGTAATGTTTTAGGACACCCCAATCTTCGCGAAAAGCAATATGAGTTACACTGAAATGGAGCTTTAAAAAAAGTAGAAGAGAGAGTTAGAGACTCCCCGCTTCTGTAAAACACAAATTGCAACGAATATGTACATATTTTTGAACTTATCATGTCTATTGAAGTTACCACAACACATGTTTCGGTAGAACACGTGTTTACTCGGTGTTTATTTAGACCGTCAATTTCATTGGCTATTATGTTTATGGAAAACCTGTTCTACAGGTATTCGAACAAACAAATTGACCGTTTTATCCATTTCTAAAGAAATGGGCGTGTTATAAGATGACAGTAAACGTTCTAAAGATAGCTCAAAACGTTCCATTCGAACGGAAAATTTTACCACTTCAATGCGCTTCATTGTAAATATACAAATATACAAAATAAAGAATTATTTACTTTATGTTTGTTATTGCCATAAATGATATTTAACATTTATCAAATATTCATACATTTATGCCAAATAAATTATGTATGTTTTGTTACATATTTGTGTTTTTTTTTCCTTTCATCAGATTTATATAATCGAAATTGTTTTCACTTTTTAGTCTTCTATATTCATCCTATAGTCAAATGTTTTAATTTTCAATTCTAATGTTTTCACTCTTTAGTCTATAATATTTTCATTCTTTAGTCTATAGTGTTTTCACCCTAGTCTATAATGTTTTCACTCTATTGTATACTGTTTTCTGTATAATCATTAGTCTAGTGTTTTCACCCTATAGTCTACTGTAATCATTAGTCTAGTGTTTTCATTTTTTAGTCTAGTGTTTTCAATCTAGTTTAGTGTTATCACTCTTTAGTCTAGTGTTTTCACCCTTTAGTTAATAGTATTTTCATTCTTTAATCTAGATTTTTTTCCACTCATAAGTTTACAGTGTTGCCACTCTTTAGTCTAGAGATTGCACTTATTGTCTAGTGTTTTCTGTCTTTTATCTAAGAGTTTTTACTCTTTCAGTGCTTTTACTCTTTTATCTATTGTTTTCAGTCTTGAGTTTTCATTCTTTATAGTCTTGTGTTTTCACTCTATGGTCTAGTGTTTTCACTCTTTAGTCTAGTATTTTCACTCTTTAATCTAGTGTTTTCTTTAATCTAGTGTTTTCTTTCATCTAGTGTTTTCATTCTTTAGTCTTGTGTTTTCACTATAAAGTCTAGTGTTATCATTCTTAAGTCTACTGTTATCACTCTTTAGTTTATAGTGTTTTCACTCTTTAGTCTATAGTGTTTTCACTCATAAGTCTATTAATAGTGTTTCCCTTTCCACTCATTAGTCTAGAAATTTCACTTGATAGTCTAGTGTTTTCTGTCTTGTATCTAGAGTTTTTACTCCATAATCCATGCAGTGCTTTCACTCTTTTATCTATTGTTTTCAGTCTTGAATTTTCATTCCTTAGTCTAGTGTTATCACTCTTTAATACAATGTTGTAACTCTTTAGTCTAATGTGTGTCACTCTCATTTTAATGTTTTCACTCTTTAGTCTAGTGATTGCACTTTATTGTCTACTGTTTTACTCTATTATCTAGAGTGTTTTTACTCCACAATCTAGAGCTTTCAATCGCTATATCATCTATTATTTTCTCTCTATAGTCTTGTATTTTCTAGTCTAGTGTTTCCCTCTATAGACTAATGTTCAATCTAGACTTAAAACAAAAGTGACACTAAACTCTCTTCTCGTCTCAAAATCCAATTCATTCACAGTAAAACAGTACACACTAATAATAGGAATCGGCATTAAAAGAATGCAGAATTGATGAGCTGTAGGCATAAATATGAAACGATTGCATGCCAAACTGTATAGTATGGACGATTATTTAACCGTTTCTTATTGTCTTGCCAACACCAACAGAAGACACGTAATTTAGGTTAACTAGGTCTGTGCTTATGATATGACTGGTGATTATCTGAACTATAATGAGGTGACATTGTAGTAAAACATAGATATGGTCACCAAGACTGTCACGAAGACCTAGTTATAACAAAATATATAGCTTATTAAAGAAAGATTGCGAACAAGGCGAGGACAATCCCCTGTTCTGAGATAGTTTATTTCTTGATTTTCAAAATTCATGGACTTTTCTTTTCAATAATTATGTCAGTATCGTCATATTTGAACCATCTACATTGTTGAATAACTTACAGACTAATAATGTGCTCATAAAGTTATAGCATATTCAGTTGAAACTGGGTTTATCAGAGCCATTTAAAATTATTTCATTCACTCCCAAGAAACTCGTTCTTTAAAACCACTCTAAAACACTCAACGGTGCAAAATTCCGTAGCGTAGCGAACCCAATGTAGCGGCAGGGCATGGTACAAGGGTACGTTCTTTCACCTGCACTATTCGAAATATATGTACATGTGTATTCTTAACAGTACTGGTGGAACCAATACATGTTCTTAAAGATAAAACATACATCTCCAAAACGGATTGATTGTTGCATACAACCTTTTAATTTTGAAGAAAGTTAACCATAAAAAAGCCACGAGTTGTTATACAGACAAAATTCATAATGTACCAACATATTGCCCTGGTTTCCCACACACAGCATGATCTCCATAAGCCGACTAACTCTCTCAAGATGATGGCCTCTACAAAGGCACGTCGCGGGTTCGAATCCTAATGTGGGATGTGGTGACCGATCTTTCGGATGAGACCGTTTATACCGAGGTCTCATGTCGCAGTAGGTGCTGGCACGAAAAAGACCCTTTCCTGCTCAATGACCCTGAGTGCCAAGTATAGGACAAAATTTGCAGCTCTTCGCCGGCAAGTGGTGGCGTCTCCAAATGAGTGAAAAATTCTCGAGAGGGACGTTAAACACCATAGAATCAATCAATCTACAAAGGCCTTTAAATAAATGTAAATTAAGGGGAAAGTGTGAGCGAGGCAATATTTTTAAAGAGTAGGAAGTCCATAATTTTTTGCTCATATGGCTGCCGAAGCAACATCAGGAATGATTACCGACAATAGATTTTTTTGAAATTTAAGTTTTCACTAAAATTGCAGAATAGTATTCATATATCCAATATATATCAGCATCATTACTGTAGGATTTGCAAGTGGCTACGAAATGAATACATCCTCATAAAAATCAAACTCTCTATACATGTAATATAATTTATTTTTCTTTCAGAAGGAAATGTTGTTTCTTTAAAACAAAGTTATAGTTTAATACTGTTTTATCTTCTCTCATGCTTCTCTTCACTGGACAGTTTTTCCAGAATCCTGCATCAAAAGAAAAGAAAGTAAATAAAAATGTTTTAATTACTTCTTTTTAGAATAAAATGGAACATGATTGATATCAGAATAGAAGAGTTTGACATCATTCACAAATTTTAGTTGTATTTTTTAAGAAATCACTTAAAAGAAATATTTGTAAAAGGGGTTAAGATACCATTTTAGAATGCAATAAAATAATAGAGACATTTGTTAAAAGAAATGTTTCCTTTAAAACATGAATTATACAGGTACAACTTTTTTTCCATATAAAGTTAGAAATTAAAGAAAACATGTAGTTTTGCTATACCTTAAAATAATCTATGCCAAAGAAGAATAGCTTTCTTGGGCCAAACAGGCCTTCATCATCATCGTCATCATCATCGTAAAAATAATCATCCTTATTCAAAATCTAAAAGTTTTAAAATAGGACAGTTTAGTTTTATATTTTAATGAAACTTTGTATATTAACTTTCAAAAACGTATTAAAAGATTATAGTATATAAGTAAAGAAAGTGTGTAAATGCATGAACATTTTAACCATTCTCTTTTGCCCTCTTAATTGTAACACATATTTTATCCGCAAATGACCATTTTTAAATACCTCAAGTATTATCTTCTGATCCTTGATTTCTAGTTCTGTTGTATCTGCTATATCCGCTCCATTTAGTTCCTCAACAACTGTATCATTTTCATTTGGTTCCTTGACAATAACATTCTTCCCATTGGGCTCCTCAACAACTACTAGTATATCCTTTTCATTTGGTTCTTCAACAACTGTATCCTTTTCATTCGGTTCCTTGACAATTATGTCCTTTTCTTTTGGTTCCTTGACAACTATATTATTTTCATTTGGTTCCTTGACAACTATATTATTTTCATTTGGTTCCTCAAAAACTTCATCCTTTTTATTTGGCTCCTGGAAAATTGTATCCCTTTCATTTGGTTCCTCAACAATTATTTGCTTTTCATCTTGTTCCTCGACAACTATATCCTTTTCATTTGGTTCCTTGACAACTATGTCCTTTCCATTCAGTTCTTCAACAGCTTTATCCTTTTCATTTGGTTCCTTGATAACTATATCCTTTTCTTTTGGTTTCTCAACACCTATATCCTTTTCATTTGGTTCCTCAGCAACTTTATCCTTTTCATATGGTTTCTCAACACCTATATCCTTTTCATTTGGTTCCTCAACAACTTTATCCTTTTCATCTTGTTCCTCAACAACTATATCCTTTTCATTTGGTTCCTTGACATTTATGTCCTTTCCATTCAGTTCCTCGACAACTATATTGTTTTCATTTGGTTCCTCGACAACTATATTATTTTCATTTGGTTCCTCAACAGCTATGTCCTTTCCATTTGATTCCGCAACACATATGTCCTTTCCATTCGGTTCATTGGCAACTATATCCTTTTCATCTGGTTTCTCAACAACTTTATCCTTTCCATTTGGTTCCTCAACAACTATATTGTTTTCATTTGGTTCCTCAACTCCTATATCCTTTTCATTTGGTTCCTCAACAACTTTATCCTTTTCATTTGGTTCCTTGATAACTATATCCTTTTCATTTTGTTCCTCAACAACTATATCCTTTTCATTTGGTTCCTCGACAACTATGTCCTTTCCATTCAGTTCTTCAACAACTTTATCCTTTTCATTTGGTTCCTCGACAACTACATTTTTTTCAAGTGGTTCCTTGACAACTATATTGTTTTCATTCAGTTCCTCAACAACTGTGTCCTTTCCATTTGGTTCTTCAACATTTTTATCCTTTTCATCTGGTTCCTCGACAACTATATCTTTTTCATTTGGTTTCTCAACAACTTTGTCCTTTTCATTTGTTTCCTTGACAATTATATCCTTTTCATTTCGTTCCTTGAAAATTATATCCTTTCCATTCGCTTCTACAACAACTATACCCTTTTCATTTGGTCCCAAGACAACTATATCCTTTCCATTCGTTTCTTCAACAACTTTATCCTTTTCATTTGGTTCCTTGACAACTATGTCCTTTTCATTTGGTTCCTCAACAACTATGTCCTTTTCATTTGTTTCCTTGACAATTATATCCTTTTCATTTTGTTCCTTGATAATTATATCCTTTCCATTTGGTTCTTCAACAACAATATCCTTTTCATTCGGTTCATTGACAACAATATCCTTTTCATTTGGTTCCTTGACAACTATGTCCTTTTCATTTGGTTCCTTGACAACTATATCCTTTCCATTTGGTTCCTTGACAACTATGTCCTTTTCATATGGTTCCTCAGCCACTTTAGCCTTTCCATCTGGCTCTTCAATGACTTTATACTCTCCGTCTTTTTTGTCATCCACTTTATCCTCATCCTCCTTACCCCGGACTTCTTGATTGTCACATGCTTTTAGCTGAACTGCTGGTTTGACAAATGCTTCTGATTTTTTAGACACTTTTGCTTTACACACTACTGACTTCTCAGTATCTGCAAGTGATATTGCTATTTTTTCATCCTTTGCTGACTCCTCAAATATAAAACTAATTTTCTTCACATCCTTTGGGGTTTCTGGAACAAGGACTTTCTTCTTATCTCCAAATGGTTTTAGATAAAATGCCTTTTTTGTATCCCTGGGATCTTTTTGTTTGGTGCATTCACCACTCTAAAAAGTGGGTAAAATAAGTTAATATACATTTTCCTTTCATAATAAATTTAATGATATAATCTTACTGCCATATTCTTTTGGTTTTAGAAGGAGACATTATCTTCAATACGGCCAAGCTTAAAAAATCTTTGTTTGCAGTTGTCGACCTATAATTTTTAGACTGGGTAGGTAGGTAGGCATTCTTTGTTTTTTAAATTGTCTTCAGATTTTTGTTAGATAACAAATAATAGAGCTTTTCAAAGGCCTACTAAAGATGAATAAGTTCCACTATTATTTTAAAAAACTGATTGATAAAAACAAAAGTCAAAAACTGAAAATGAAATAGTTTCAATATCCTGAAAAAGTGAAAGAAATAATTTACTAAATGGCTAAAAAAAGTTTGCGTCAGATGCATTTTCATTGGGTCGGTAGGCAACTGAAAACAAACAAATTTTTATTTTAGGCCTAATTTACTGAAAATTTTAATGAGTAAATCACTGCTGTTTAATGTAGATATATAATATATCAATCATTTTACCACAACTTTCCTTATGCTTTCTCTTTCAATAGAGGCCTTTGCCACTTCCCTTGCCACACATAAATATACATCTGTGCAACAATATCCATTCAGTATTTGAAAAGAGAAAGGCGAATTCTAAACGCATACTCTTACCCAGTTTTTAACCGCCTCATCTCCAAAGTCTAAAAGTGTTGTAAATCTGCAAAATATAAAGGTGTCTAAAGGTGTTGTAAATCTGTACAAATATACTTAGTAGATGAATTCAATATTTTATAGTTTTGCATTATGTGTAAGTATCACCGATTAGGATACATAGGACAATATACAGTGTAGTTTAATTCATGTATATAATGATAATTTTTGGGTCAGTGATTGTATTATCCTACCTGTTGTCATTTGTGTTGTTATTTTTCTTCACTTCTGCAATTTCTTTCTCCAACTTTTTCTTCATCTCTTTTTTCTGCTTTTGTTCCTCCTACCAGATAAAATAAAGATTCTGTGAGTTTCATCAAATTTCACTCAGTGGTAGGACAAAAGGAGTTGCGGATAAGAGATGGGTACCCCAAAGCGTAACAGACAGACAGACGGACGGACTGCTAGACGGATTAACGGACGGACATACCAATTACTATATACCCTTCCGCTTTTCAAGGAGAGGGGGGATAAAAAAAAGTCGGGTTAATATAAAACATCAACATGAAAATGGCTGAAGTTTATTTCATGATCTTACAAAAACCATTGTCACAAAATTATACAGTAAATCATGCTAATAGCGAGGTTTCAGGAACATGCCATTTTGATTTGTTATATTCTTTAAGGTTATTCGATATATCTCTTAAGATAACAACCCCCGGTATGTTAAATACCAGAGGATTGATAATGAAATCACGTCGCTTTCAGCGTGAATTCATTTTAAGCATGTTGTTAAAACCGTGTTTGATGTTAAGTTGTTGGGAAAAAAAAACGTAAACATTTTAAACCATTCATAAAATAAAGGTATTCTAATTTCTAAAAAGTAAAAATCTGTTGTTAATCAAAAGAAGTTCATTATATATTACGCATCACACTCGTATATAATTTCTATTATATAACTAATATATAATTTCTTATATTTCAACTTATGTTATACGATATAAATTTCTTTATAGTTAAATTCTGTAACTTAAACACAGACAATTTCTATTATGCATCATGTATAATTTTTACTATATAACTTATACATAGATAATTTCTATAAGCTAACTTATACATCGATAATTATTCTGTACCTCTATACGCCTTTCTTCCTCTTCTACAGCATCAACCCATGAATAATCAAACTTTAGGATCTTGAGTTTTGTGTCCTGGAAATATTCATTTGAACAATACGTTGTAAATATTTGATAAATTGATTGCATTGAAAAGATTCAGGGGCAGTTGTCAAAAAAAATCTGATTGAATTCTGAAGGCATGAATAGGCGGAAGAAGTAAACTGAAAGGGGGAAGGAGGCTAATTGAAAGAGAAAAATTTCAAACCTAAAAAAAAAAATTGACAAGCATTGGAAAATATTTTCAAACCCTGAAAATCCTATTTCAGTGGTAGTTAAGATCGAAATTGTTTCAGTTTCATATGCTACCACTAACCCTTCTTTGACTACTAGTATACTGCAACAAACAGTGGGGGATGGAACCGGCCTTTCAATGAAACTGTTGTTGCTACGTACATAAGCCCCCTAAGACCCCCCCCCCCCTTCCCGATTCCGACGCCTATTGTATGGTAATAAAAACTACATTCCATAAATTTGCCGATTAACAGTATACATGCATAGAAAACTTTTTTGTTTTGCTTGTCAAGTTTTTCTTTTTGTGATATAGTGTCCAATGTTCGGAGATACCCCCCTCGTTCTTCCCAACTGAAAGGCCCTTGAAGATATTTAAAAGCCGAATACCACAGGGCCAGCTCCATGATTTTATTCCTGGAAAGGAGGGGGGGGGGGTCCACATCATTGAAATATTAGGAAGAACAAGATTTACAAAAAAAAGGATTTAATTTAAAAACTTACCACATCTGTGACAGGGTTCTCTCCAAAATCCAAAACTGCGTTATAGTCCATGGTACGAAAAAAGACAGTTATAAATCGTTGACTTTTACCTAGATCTGTGTTTTGCCACTCGACTTCGCTTTTTGTTGTAGTGACGATTGTTGCGTCACAACGATTGTTACGTTTAAGCGGTCCTGTTATGATGACGTCACGTTTTTGTCTTTTTCAACAGAAAAAGAGGATGGGTGGATCAAACCTTTTATCAAAGAAATTTCACGCATATCCACTTCTGTGTTAATTATTAATACCTACCGCTGATCCTTTATTGCTGCAGTAACTTTCCTGTTTACATTACATAGTCGGTACATGAATAACTTGAAACACAGGAATTCAACACCTTTTTCGATGTTCAAAAGGGGATGCGATTGCAGACGATGCATTCCCCGTTCGATGCAATGAATTGGTAATTAATTCATCTGAAGCTTGAAGGTCATTGCTGTATTAAAGAATTAATGATGTTGCATTTTACAGTCAAAGTAATTTACTCAAAGGATGTTCAATGTCAGGTGCATCCACCAACAAAAATCGCCCGTTTGGGAGGAAAACGGGGCACAACTCTTCTCTTCGAAATCCATATAAAAGAAAACTACTCTTATACAAGCTTTGTTTGTTGTTTAACGTCAGGTGGAGGGCTGCAAATATTAGCCATATACTTGGCACTAAAGGCCATTAAGCAGTAATGAATTTTTTTTCCCTGTACCAACCCTCCCCCATCCAAATTTTATATGGTCGCATCCAAAAGACCAGTCTCCACGTCCGGCATAGGCACCTCCCCTTCACCCATTCACTTTACTAAATTATTGAACTTGTTTGCATCTGTAGCAACGCATAGCGAACTGTCAATTCATATACCAGTTTCTGTCCTTAATCTAAACAAAACCACAAAATCTACACTGTTAATGTAATTCGGTGAATTTCAAAAATAACAAACAAAAATACTTTAACTATTTTAATACAATATTACAATATATACATTGGATTGTAACATAATCAGCACTTACAATATTTATGCTATACAACAAGGCAATAACTCACAATGGAAAAATCCAAATTTGACATGATCTTGAACTCATTATCTTTCAGCAATGCACATAGTAATATTTTCAAAAATAAATGTTTCAGGGAAAACATGTGATAAATTCACATTTTTCCACCAACTTCTGAACAATTCAGAATTGAAAAAGAAAATATGTCATTATCAGAATTAAAAAGAACATTACATATCATATCTATCATATTTGCTTTAACTGTATTACAATATTTTGTACAATGCATTTGAAACAGTTTAGGCCCTATTCTAAAGGTCTGGCTTGTCATCTTAATTAACAAGTAAGTTAGAGGAAAGGGATTTCTCATTGGTTTAAGAAAATGCTAAAGCTTAATACAGTCAAACCTTCTTATCTTGAAAATGGAGGCTTTGAGAAAAAACATCTGATGATTATAGATATCGGAATAAAATACTAATAATAAGGGGCAGGAACTTCCGAATCGCTTCAACATAGTCATGGTATTCAAGATATCAGTGTTCCAGATATCAAACTTCATTTCACTTAGTTTTTGTAGAAAGATTGTCCACTTTTTCAATTCATCGTAGATGAATTTGAAGATCATGATTTAGGGAGTACCATATTCCTATTTACAAAGTCAGAATTAGTACATCTGAGTGAGTATTCTGCCCCCCCCCCCCCACCCCAAAAAATCTTAAGTTTTAAAATTTAAAAAAAACAAAAACATTTTCATTAAAATAAAAAATTTAAGTGTGCTAAAAATAAATATTTTACATATCTCTGTATGTCATGTTATGTAAGTTATGTAATGTTATATAAGTAATATGAGTAAGATGGACAAACGTTGTCAATCAGTCCAAATTTGAAAAATTGGATCAACCAACAGCCATGAAAACAATAAAGCTGTTTCCCTTGTGAAAAAAACAAGCATACTGACAATAACCTCATTATAACTGAGGGCTTACTTTAAATGACTATATTGTACAACAACAACAAAACGTGACCAATATTCATTTCCAACTGATGACCTTCAACTGTTCTCAGTGTACACCTAGTCTCCATGAATCTGCAGTGAAGCGTGCTGACCCCGTGGTGAAGGCATTTTTCTCAAAAATATCTTCCCGGATGCTGACCACTCATGTGATGCTGGGGTCTGGACTGATTGGTGTAATTTGGCTGTGATAAAAAAATAGAAATTTATTGGGTCAGATGTTTTGATCAGACATCGTCAGATTTTAAAGTAGTAGGTTTTAACAATGCAAAGGAAATCAAAGGACAAACATAATTTTGCATTTGCAGGTTTTCTTTGACAGTATGATGAGCTTTATAAACAACATTAACTTAATAAATTTTCAACACTTTTTTTTTCTTTGTCTCATCCATGCTTTATTGTAAATACTTTATGAAATATCCTCTCTACATTGTTTTGTACAGTTTATGAGAATAAACTATTGTCTATTGTCATAACGTAATGACTTAAACTATAAAATGGGACACAAACTTCAATCAAGCTATATGTGCATATGGTAAAAATGCACTAATTACACAATGGTATATATGTAGTCACTTTCCTGTTTACTTTACATATTATGTAATTACAGAATTCTTCACCACTTCAGTGTCAAATTAAAAGTCATTTAGACCATCATTGGTAGGGGTGTGCAATATTACCGGTATATCGGTATATTGCGGTATTATCCACCACGATAATATATCGCGATATGAAAATCAGATACCGGTATTTCACGATATTTATAAAAATATATAAAAACCTCCTTTATTGTAGAAACTGTTAAAATAAAACTGGAAACTTCTAAGTCTTTTTTCTTTCTCTTTGAAAGAATTCTTCGTCAGTTTCGTTCGGGAGAGAAAGAGAGAGGAGAGAGAGAGGGGGGTGGAAGCTTTGAATTCACTGTTGCAGTTTTGAATATCTTACTTTGAAATAAAAGTACTAATTCATAAGACTTTAAAATAAAATTTATAAGGAAGAAAATATATAAAACATTTTTACAGGGTGTATACCATATGCATTGCGGTTCTCAAAATCTCACATTGAATCTACACGATCGACATCGCGGTGAAATGTCAAGTTAAATATACATGTACATATTACAAGTAAATGGTCATCCATGTTTTCACTTGTAGCAGTGTTGTTTGAATTATTTTTAATAACTTTCATGCCATTTTAAACACCTTATGCTATAGCAGGAGCATGTATATATTAAAACAGGCCATTTCCTGATTGTACGTCTTGATGTGAAATTAGGTCGGGTTAGACTAAATTACCAAAACGCACGAAAACAGGTCAATTTCTTTCTGGTTTTTTAAATTTTATTTTGTAACCACACGAAAATTATTTTCATATAGGCCTAATCTGTATATTGTTTTAATCTTTAATAACATTTTATTACTTATTAAACCCCCCCCCCCCCAAAAAAAAAGAATTCAATGAAAAAAGATTACATAATCTGTAAAAAATTTTATTTCAATGTTAAAATTCTCCAAGAGAGTTCATCTTGTTTTACTATTTTACCTGGAAGTTGATTAAAAGTAAAGTGCTAATTTGGTGTGCAATCAATGTCTTATCCCTCCTCCCGCTTTTAAACTTAAAGATAAATTCAAATAGTCTTTGAACTTGACAGCATTTCAAACATTCTGCTCAAATTTATTTATGATAATTAATCTACAATATATTGCAATATATTGCAATATTCAAAGTAAAATATTGCAATATATCGCAATATGGATTTCCTTCGCAATACCCAACTCTAATCATTGGTCCTGCTACTGACCTGATTTATATTGGGGGGCTGGTACTGGGTGGTGGAGTTAGGGGTCTGGCCCCTAGCAGCATAACCAGTTACAATACTGCCCTGAAAAACAAATTACAGTTTATTTAACTTACATGTATCTCAAATATCAGCTTTTTGTTTGTTTGTTTTATTTTTATCTAATTTATAAATATTTATAGATATAAATACTTGGGTATCTAAAAGTTTCATATAATTTAATATTCTGGTACATGTAACACAAAGTTTCAAATAATGAGGTTTTGACTGTATTTCATTATTAGTTTGAGCCAATTCTAAACCAATGTCATGATATGCATGCCTTAAATAACAGGAATTTCAATGTAAATAAGGAAGTTTTTTAAAGGGATGGAAAACCCAGAATGAATTCATGTAATTAATAAATGATAGGATTTGATTTTTATAAACAATGATAAACATGTACCTAAATTTTGTTACTTGATGAAATGGTAATCCCTTATAAATAAATCATAAGCCTTCTTACCATACATGTAGGTATCAATTTCTTTTTACATCTTTGAATATATTGATTATCAGCTCTTAAATTAATAATCATTCGGAACTAGTCAAAATTTGGAACTGGCCAAACAGCTGAATGCAGATATTTTTTCCTGAACTATTTCAGCAAAGGGACAAAGTCATGGTACTTAGAACAAATTGTATGAGACAGTAAAATCTTGCCTTAGACTGCTGTTGCTGCTGCTGCATTTGCAATGACTGGTGCATGATGGGTTGCTGTGCTGCCATTGGTGCAACGCCTCTGATGGCTGATCCCTGCTAATAAAATGAAAAAAAAAAATCATCAAGTGAATATCATTAATTAAAGTTCACTTTTAATACATCTTATTAATAGAGAATAGACTCATATACATGTACAGTATTACTTAATATCATTATTTTACTCATAATAGTATTAAAACAAAACATTATACAATAAACAAACTCAATTAAGACACACACACCCTAAATAAAATGAGATAGAGACAATCATATAGAACACATACTTGTTGCAATTTATATTTTTCTTCATTAAAACCAGATTGCTGATTGGCATGTTCAAGTTGTTTCTGCAGGGGGATATTTGAGCCATGTTGAGTGGCTATATAACCTAAAATAGAAAAGACAACATGATGACAAATAATTTTCTTCAAACCGACAGGATATCTTATGCAAAAATTGTTCGGTCAATAAAGTTCAACCTTTTGTGTGGGGAATAATGATTATATCAGAACTTCAAGGTTAAAAATATCCCAAAGAATTCTGAATACGTTTGCTTATAGTATATTACTGTAAACCAACTATTTTTTGCAAGAATTCTTATCTCCCGATTGCTCAGCCTGATAATCCATAAACCACTATTAATTTTTCACAACTTAGAAAATAAAAAAAAAAAACAAAATTGAATATATATGGTTAAATGTCGATAAATACTTCTGACTCAAAAAAGGTTAGGTAGTGAAAGTCACAGATTTTACTATCTTGTAAATAGAAGTTGGTGTACAATTCATGCTTTCAACTCTAGATCTTGTGGAATGTTCACACCTGGTTGCTGCATCCTGTACCCTGGGTAACCAGACTCTTGGAGCTGTTTGGATTGCTGATGTGCGTAGGGATTGGAGTAGGAGGAGAACGCGGACTGTCCCCCGGGGTTGTACTTGACCGGAGACTTACTGGGGACATAGCCCGCCTGCTGATAGGCATGACTAGAAGCCGACTGACTGGGGTACACAGGTCCAGCCTGGGTCTGGGGGAAGTTAGAGGGCTGCTCTGTAAAAAAAATGTTAAAACAGTACAGAAGAAAATATTTTATAAGGCTTAAACATTGTTAAAGACCAGTAGGTTTCTCTCTCTTAAATATACTGAATGATCAGATGGAAATATGTCATTCTTCTATCACCAGCATAGAGGAGCAATTACAATCATACAGAAATTTTTATTGTCTTGAAATTCCATGGAAATAACAAGTACTTATTATGCCACTGGTGCTGTTTTCATATGGGTAAATCAATATGAAACTTGTTCTATCTGGAAGTATCAAAGTCAGAAAAACTGTACTGCCTCTCATTGTTAAACATATATATTTTATAATCAGTTTGATGAAATTCTTATGTTCTAAATTTATCTTTCTTTTCTTTGTTTGTTTGCTAATTTCATTGAATTAAAAAAACAAACAAGAGGCCCATGGGCCACATCGCTCACCTGAGCACTAAGGGTAGGAAAAAGTAGAAAATGGCTTTTTATTGTAAAGTTTAAATCCAAAAGTATTCCCATGACCAATCATGGATTTGCTATTTTTTAGAAAATGATTTTTAAAGAATTTTCCTATATATATCTTTAAACTTTGGTCGGCCATTTTGGCCCCGCACTACACCCGGGGGTCATGATTTGAACAAATTTGAATCTACACTATTTGAGCATGCTTAGATATAAATATGATGAATTATGGCTTTGTCATTCTTGAGAAGAAGATTTTTAAAGAATTTTCCTATATATTTCTATGTAAAACTTTGGTCGGCCATTTTGGCCCCGCCCTACCCCCGGGGGTCATGATTTGGACAAACTTGAATCTACACTACTTGAGCATGCTTCCATTTAAATATGATGAATTATGGCTTTGTCATTCTTGAGAAGAAGATTTTTAAAGAATTTTCCTATATATTTCTAAGTAAAACTTTGGTCAGCCATTTTGGCCACGCCCTACCTCCAGGGGTCATAATTTGAACAAATTTGAATCTACACTACCTGAGCATGCTTCCATATAAATATGATGAATTATAGCTTTGTCATTCTTGAGAAGAAGATGTTTAAAGAATTTTCCTATATACAATGTATTTCTATGTAAAACTTTTGTCGGCCATTTTGGCCCCGCCCTACCTCCGGGGGTCATGATTTGAAGAAACTTGAATTTACACTACCTGAGCATGCTTCCACATAAATATGATGAATTATGGCTTTGTCATTCTTGAGAAGAAGATTTTTAAAGAATTTTCCTATATATTTCTATGTAAAACTTTGGTCAGCCATTTTGGCCCCGCCCTACCCCCGGGGGTCATAATTTGAACAAACTTGAATCTACACTACCTGAACATGCTTCCACATAAATATGATGAATTATGGCTTTGTCATTCTTGAGAAGAAGATTTTTAAAGAATTTTCCTATATATTTCTATGTAAAACTTTGGTCGGCCATTTTGGCCCCGCCCTACCCCCGGGGGTCATGATTTGAACAAACTTGAATCTACACTACCTGAGCATGATCCCAAATAAATATGATCAATAATGGCAATGTCATTCTTGAGAAGAAGATTTTAAAAGAATTTTCCTATATATTTCTATGTTAAACTTTGGTCGGCCATTTTGGCCCCGCCCTACCCCGGGGGGTCATGATTTGAACAAACTTGAATCTACACTATCTGAACATGCTTTCATACAAATATGATGAATTATGGCTTTGTCATTCTTGAGAAGAAGATTTTTAAAGAATTTTCCTGTACATTTCTATGTAAAACTTTGGTCGGCCATTTTGGCCCCGCCCTACCCCCGGGGGTCATGAATTGAACAAACTTGAATCTACACTACCTGAGCATGCTTCCATATAAATATGATGAATTATGGCTTTGTCATTCTTGAGAAGAAGATTTTTAATGAATTTTCCTATATATTTCTATGTAAAACTTTGGTCGGCCATTTTGGCCCTGGGCGTAATGATTTGAACAAATTTGAATCTACACTACCTGAGGATGTTTCCCCATGAGTTTCATCTTTCCTGGCACTGTGGTTCTTGAGAAGAAGATTTTAAAATATGCCACCAAATTTTGATTAATTCCCAATAATCTTTCCTTGTATGAGGGTGTGGCCCTTCATTTGAAGAAACTTGAATCCCCCTCACCCAAGGATGCTTTGTGGCAAGTTTGGTTGAAATTAGCCCAGCAGTTCTTAAGAAGGAGTCGAAAATGTGAAAAGTTTACAGACAGACGGACAGACAGAGGGACGGACAGACAGACGGACGCCGGACAAAATGTGATCAGAAAAGCTCACTTGAGCCTTCGGCTCAGGTGAGCTAAAAAGTTTGATCCAGATAGGGCATATAGTTACTTGGGTATGCACTTGTTCCAAAAAAAATAATTGAATCTCAAATGGAAATGTAGGTCAGATCCAGCATACAAAGCAAGCCAAGTAGTGTGCATACCTAGATGTATCACCCATGCCAGTCTGGTCAAGAATGGGCTTCAAGTTACATGGGAATGGATCTGCTCATTCAACTTTAACTGGGATGCAGACACCAATGCTGGAAGTATACCACAAGCTCATCTTGACTTTATTGGGGTTGAAATGAAAAATATTTACTTACTGTAGTCAGGCTGTGTGGAGTGGGGATAAGGGTGTGGCTTCTCTACAGCCATCATTTTGTTGCTATACTGATAGGACTGTGAGGGTGGGGGAGAGGGGCTACGTCCTCTTTTCATGCTCACTGGCTATAAAATGATAGAAATAAAAGTTTATCTTAATAATCTGATAATATTATCAAATGGTACTGAAAATTTAAATTTTGTTCCTTAAAAAATATTACCTCTTTAGCTACTAAAATTCTTGGCAACACAGAAATTAAATTATTACTTTTAACTTAAAAAAAGAAGTGTGTGATGTGATCAATTTAATGAAGTACAACATTCTTTGCATGCAAAACTTTTTTCCTTTGAAGTAAAGTGTTATTTAATACAAGCGTACCTGAACCATGCTGGTTGGCTGGGGCGGTCTGTATAACATAGGACGACCAGACATGGCATGAGGCAGACCTAGGACTGTACTGTGCTGCATAATCTGCAACTCACTGCATAAATCAAATGGAACACACTGTATACATCTAATCAATCTGCCAGGGGTTTTCCTACCATTTTTCAACAGGGTCCGGGGTCCGTAGAATTGGGAAAATTGACGCAAAATGCGTTCAAATTGGGAAAATTTTAAAAAGGAACAATTTTGTTATTTTCCTATATAAATGAAAATGATGGGACCAAAAGTGTCTTGTTTTACAACAGAGTGAACAACTGTAGACAGATATAAAGAGCTGCACATTATTCAGCTATTATTGGATAATAAGAAAAAAATGCAGAAAATAGTTTTATTGCTATATACACGTGTATTCATGTAAAAAAAAATGTTTAAACGGGTATTATAATTTTAATTGGAAAATGAAAAATTTAAGAAAATATAGTATTTTTAAGTTTTATTGATCATGGGTGAAATAAGGAAAAAAAAATTAAGAATTTTTTTTAGTTTTTATATAAATTATTCCATTCACAACTGAGAATAATATAATTTTTTCTTGTTGAATAATAAAAAAAAAAATGCAGGAAAACATTGTTTTGTTGTACTTTGCATTCATGATTGGAGTAAAAAATAACTTTAAAAATACTTTGAAATAATCTTTATGAAGTTAATTGTTATCTATATTGATTTTAGTGTGTAGTAACACTAATTATACCAAAGAAATAAAAACATAATATGTCTGAATAGGCTTATATTAATGAGAAGGAAGATAGAAAAGTAGGATGACAGATTTTGTGCGTTTAGGCAAATTAGTCAAACCCTTCCTATTTTTAGACAATGCAAGGAAGTCCACAGTAACTTTGGAATAAGCTCAATACAACTTTCATGATAACTATGTACAATCTTTAAATGATCAGTATAGGATTTATGTGACTTAAATGAAACATGTGATTTAATAACTAGTCATTTAACATCGTAGGTGATTTACCAAATGTGTTGCATCACTAATATTTATAGCTCGATGATCCGATCGCATGTTGACACCTGTTGAGATTTTCAGACGTCTTGCAGGGAAACAAATATTTCATTTCTTTCTGAACTCACTTAAAAAATTTTCTAAGGGTACAAAATTGGGAAAAAAAGATTCAGAATTGGGAAAATATGGCTGATTTTTTGATTGGGAATGGGTCCGGTAAACGGACCCAAAAATAAGCCAGGAAAACCCCTGATCTGCCCATCAAAAGAATCAAAATGTCAAGAACTTTTTTTCTCTTTATGAAATCCTGGGAAAAAAGTCCTTATGCATTGATTCTCTACGAAATATACTAAAATAATGTTTCAAAGTCTCTTTTATCTGTAAATTATCAAAATTAATTTGCTTAATCCATGATTAACTCTTTACGACAAAAGTGCCCATTATCCCTTTATAAATTTGTCAATTGGAAGAGTTTTTTGTGCAATTTTGCCCCCCCCCCCTTCCTCATCAATTTGGACTCAACTTAACAGTCTGAATGTCTAGTTTTCCCTTTAATATCTATAAAAAAATACCTACAGTATAATTCTTAATGAAAATGTTGGCTGTAATTAACACTCAATGATTTATATTCTACCTTTGTTCTTTCAATTCACTTGTTTAAAAAATGTATGCTGTAAACCCCTAAAAGCATTCTTTATTTTCTACCTTTGTTCTTTCAACTGAGCTTTTTTACGACTCTCGTCTTCTTGGTGCAAAACTTTCTTCAGCTGTGAGAACAGTTCATGCTTCTCTGTCTTAAGTTCTTCCATCTTTTTGTCAAGTTGGGCAATCTTACATAAAAAGAAAAATAAAAAAATTCTTTCTGAAGATTGTTTTATGAAAAGTTTGTTCAGTTACATAGTTGAACTTTAATTGCAGAAAAAACATTATTACATTGATTTCGGTTAAACATTAAATACCAATGGATTAAAAAAATAAACAAAGTTATACCTGTTCTTTTGTTTGTTCCAAAGTTAAACTGTCCTCTTGTTCTTTTTTCTTCCTCATCTCTTCTTCTTTCTTCAATCTTTCCATCATTATTGCATCTTGCTCTTGTGCTATTTGTGAAAATAATTATTGAAAAGTTTGTGAAATGTGAAACTAGAAACATTCATCTTATCTTAAGCATTAAAATATATTTGTTTTGTGTCTTAAATATAAATTGAATCATTCTTTCTTCTGTTCACACATATTATAAAATATAGACATCTTTATATGTATTGATAATTTTCATTTAAACAATCAACATCTCTTTCACTTAATTATTTTCCAAAAAAAATTAATCACCCTGTTTTTTCCTTTCTCTTTCCTTCATTATATGCCTTTTCAAGGCCTGGTACATTGTCTTTGTCATCTTTGGTCGGTCAATGAGTGCCCCTGGCATGATTGCTTGTATAGCTTTTAAGTCCTTTAAAGAAAACAGAATATTGGTTTTAGAAAAATTGATGGTTAATTTTTCTGAAATATCTTAAATTCAACATACAAATAATTCACTCCTTATGATATATGTCCTGAAAATAGTAACAGATTAAATTAATGACTTTGATTCAAAAATGAATAAAAAGATAAGATAAAGTTTTTGATTATTCAGTCATTGAAATTAAAGAAGGAAAATAATAAACTTCAAAACACAATGATGAGGAAATTCGAAATCAAACATTCTTTGATTTAATTTTATCGGAAATAACTATAAAATGTTTCATTCTCTGGTTCTTATTGGTAATTTACTTAAAAATTAACAAAACAGTTTGCCATAAGTCATTTTTGATCAGTGTCAGTGCAAATTTCTCTCAATATTTACCTTCCCGAATTAGAAAATTACTTTGGAACTCTTCTGTAAAAGAAATCAAATTTCATAAGTCAACATGGCGGAAAAACGAAAATCATAACAAACGATACCAACATTTTCCCTTGTGTTTGTAATGTTTAAACAATTCCAGTATTGTTCTCTGTGTCGTTTCAGCCATAAAAAGAAGAGGAAACATATTTATTCTATCAGACATCAAAATGTAGTTAATAATATACTGGAAAAGTTTATGAAAAAGGTACCAAATGCTTGTGATTCATGGCGGACAACTCTTTCATGTTCTTTTCAGATCACCTTAGTTTTTCTGGTCATGTTTTTTTTAATCCCATCATTTGCTTTGTCTTTATTGTCTTTTGTCATTGTATTTTTGTCATTACTTAGTCCACCTCTTCTAACCACACAAGGCTAACATGTCTTTAAAAAAAAAATTATTGAAAGATCTAATGCTTTTTTTTTAAATTCTAGTCCCATCCAAATGTAAATTTTGATTGACACTCACTTAAAAACCTCTTAGATTTCATAAAATTTAGTGATATTACATGTATAACATGATTAACCTAACACAAGACACAGCGACAGACAGCCAAGGGAGTAGCTGCAGATCTGTAGCTCACTGGTCTGAAAAAATAGGGTTGGACAGCCAGAGAACTTCAGCGCCACCCACAGCAAAAACCTGTATATTTATTGGGCACAAAAAGTTGCGCTCTGTTTTGGATAAATTTCTCCAAATTCTTACCTAAGTCAATAAAAAGTGTAGATATCAATAATTTCCTTACCCCTCTATGAATTAAGTACATGTACTCTTGTAGTTGACATCTGCACTAATATGCAAGTTTCGAGATTATCTTTCTTGGTGCGCTCTTTCGTTGAGAAGGGGAGTTTCGTTGCCGCGTAAACAAACAGGTGGGACAGATATTTGATACTGTGTATGTTGGATACATTGCATCATCGACATACCGGTTTATCATAACTACAAGATTGTCAAGATGCGCTCTACAACTAGAGTATAACCGAATTAAAGTAAAGGCATCATTTTATAAGCAAAAAATCGAAACGAAGAAGAAAATGTCAGTGGATGTGAGACTTTTCGGACGAGGGAAGAGGACCTCTAATAAATACGGTACACATGCATCTGATCATTGCATGTCGGGAATCAATATGACATATTGATTCTTTTCCTTATTATATAACTTAAAAAACACTAAGTTATAAGAAAATGTTAGTACAATCAAGAAAATCGGTTTCTATTTATAAAGACTACGATGTTTCTTTCGTATTCAAGTACTCGTAAATTGATAGCAGATTTGTAAATATGCATATCTGAGCTTGATAAAATCATCAAATGCATCACTGCTTATTCAAACAGCGCACTTGTTTGTGTTTAATAAACATATATTTTTTCAAATGGGTGGCAATGTACCTTTCTGGTCTATGAATAATCTTTTTGGATAGCTACAGTTCTGCAGCTACCAAGGGAAGTGATTTTAACAGGAGAGAAGAAAAAGTTAAACATACCGCACAGGGATTTAAATAAAGATAAATTCATTTGAATTTATTTGGGATATATTGTGGTTCCAGACTTTACTCCTGAAAAAAAATAATTTGGAGCAATTTCCACAGTCGGAATGATTGCCAGTACATGTAGTTACTTTTGGAGCTTGCAGTGCTAGCTATAATTGCTTTAATTAAGGGAATATAAAGTTATTGAAATGGTGGACCATTTCTTTATCTCAAAAAGGAGATTTATATATTTGAGGATCATGGAGTATTACTTCGGTAGAATGCAATTATTTGTAGGAAAAACCTTCAAGCTTTTAATTTCAATTTGCTTCTTAAAACTGCATGAATCATTTGATAATATGTTAAATACAATTAGATGAGTAGTAAGAATGGTAGAACTATCTCCCTGGCTTGTCACCACCAGGACTGTAGGATGAAATCTTGTTCTAGAGAAGGTTCTGTCTACAATTTAAGTACTTAGGCTTGGGAACAATATATATATATATATATTTAGATAACGTAGATTAAGATGTCTGTAGGAGGTTGTAACAATATTACACTTACTTATTTCAATTTAATTATTATTTGTGTATTAATCCTTTTATAGATAACTGAAGCCAGGTCCTCCTTAGAATCTCCACAAATTGAAAGTGCACATTATGAAAGAGGAGCCAAGTTTTGGTGCCATTTTTGTGCGGAGGAGTATATTAAACACATGGAGCTTGACACATGTACTGTTAAATATGGTGGTCTCATCGAACATATAGCAAGGTATAACCAAAAAAAAAAAATTGTGAAAGAAATGAAATTTTACGTGACTGATTTATTGTGTACATTTTTAGTGTTCTTAAAGCTTTAGAACACTAATAGTCATTATTCAGCATCAACAAAGGTCTTTTGGTATTGTGATTTGGTAGAACGTCACTTCAGTTTTTTTGTTTTTTTCACAAGTCAATTTTTCTGCTTGTACATGTACTTCACACCTTCTAGAAGCTACTTTTTGATCTGACAGAGTTTAATACAGGTATTGTATCTATTGTATAATAAGATTAATAAACATTTTAAATGTATTTCACTTGCATCATTTTTTATTGTAGTTTTGAACATAAGAGGAAAATGTACAATTTCTTCTATGAAAACAAAGTGGATGAGAGCAAAAGACATCCAGATCTATTCCACTTGCCAGAGGAGGACCTGAAGAAGTAAATAATTAAAACCAATTTTCATTGGATAAAATTTTTAGATTTTTTTTTTTCTTAATTTGTCTATTTGTTTTTAGCTCACCTGAGCCGAAGGCTCAAGTGAGCTTTTCTGATCACATTTTGTCCGTCGTCCGTCCGTCTGTCCGTCTGTCTGTCCGTCTGTCCGTCCGTCTGTCCGTCCGTCCGTCTGTAAACTTTTCACATTTTCGACTTCTTCTCAAGAACCAATGGGCCAATTTTAACCAAACTTGGTACAAAGCATCCTTGGGTGAAGGGAAGTTTAAATTGTTAAAATGAAGGGCCAAGTCCCCTTACAAGGGGAGATAATCAAGAAAAGACAAAAATAGGGTGGGGTCACTAAAAAATCTTCTTCTCAAGAACCACTGGGCCAGGAAAGCTGAAACTTATGTGGAAGCATCCTTGGGTAGTGTAGATATTAAATTGTTAAAATCATGACCCCCGGGGGTAGGGCGGGGCCACAATAGGGAATCCAAGTTTTACATTGAAATATATAGAATTAATCTTTAAAAATCTTCTTCTCAAGAACCACTGGGCCAGAAAAGCTGAAACTTATGTGGAAGCATCCTTGGGTAGTGTAGATATTAAATTTTGAAAAGCATGACCCCCGGGGGTAGGGCGGGGCCACAATAGGGAATCCAAGGTTTACATAGAAATATATAGAACAAATCTTTAAAAATCTTCTTCTCAAGAACCACTGGGCCAGGAAAGCTGAAACTTATGTGGAAGCATCCTTGGGTAGTGTAGATATTAAATTGTTAAAAAAAAAGTTTGAATGTCAATGAAAACGTGATGACCGGGGGTAGGGCGGGGCCACAATAGGGAATCCAATTTTTACATAGAAATATATAGAACAAATCTTTAAAAATCTTCTTCTCAAGAACCACTGGGCCAGGAAAGCTGAAACTTATGTGAAAGCATCCTTAGATAGTGTAGATTCTAAAGTTTTAAAATAATAAAGGGAAGGGGGTTGTTGGGCATGATAGGTATAGCAAGAGGGGGAATCTGGTAAAGATCTGCATCACCCTAGTTACTCAGGTGAGCGATGTGGCCCATGGGCCTCTTGTTGGACTTTGTAAAGTAATCTGATAAATGGAAAATTTTACATGTTGTCAGAATGAATAATATAAGAGAAAAACAATTATGCCCATTCAATCATTTGTTGTGGATATTTACCGGTACATTAAAGTTGTGAAGGAGTCTAGAAAGCTCTTTATAATCGCATTGGTGAATGAAAATTAAAAATATGAGTCTTTGATACAAAAATGAAATATTCTGCAGGTTTCAAGAGAAAGTTGCCATTTATGCAAAGAAACATGATGCCACAAGAAAGGAGAAAATAGAAAAGGTATTAGATTTTAAGTGTTTGCCATCATTATTTTTGTAATTCCACCACATTAATAATTTGATGCAAAAACTTCTTTCACATACATGTAAGAGGATAGATGGAAGATGTTAAATTTTCCAAAAAATTTTTTTCCAGTCAGCAATTAGGATTAAAATCACAGAGGCAGTTAGGAAACAAATGGTGCAGTCAGAGCAGTTCTCCATGGTGCAGGTGTGTGGGGCCTGAAACGTATCCATAAAATCAGGATTAATTCTGTGTCAGGGTCAATCAGGGTTAATTCTGTGTCAGGGTCAATTAAAGTCAATTCTGTGTGAGGGTTATAGTAATCTTTTATTGAGGCATTCCTATCAGTAATTAACATTTTCATGTATAGGGACAGAATTGACTTTGATGACTGGAGACAGTCAACTAAGCTTTAAGTAAAAATGCATAGTCTTCATGTATTTCATGTCATTTATTCATTTGAATAAGAATGGTAGCCTTTCTGTTTAACTGCATACTGATTTGAAAAGAGTGGCAATGCATTGCCATCTCCTATGGTTTTGAATATTGATCTATGGCCTATAAATGTTTCACTTGATGTAAAAAAAAAATTATCAGTTTTTAGGAAAGCTGTGATACAAAGGAAAAATTCTTTCTTAAATGTATACTTTAGGTCTAAAACTCTAGTGTCTAGTGTTAGTAAAAGCAACTTTGTAAACCAAAACTGACAACATTTTCTTATCTCTGTCCAGTTTTCCTAGCCAAGTATGGTAGCTAATTTCTCGTTTCTGATACTTTGATCTATTATATTTTCTGATGGGAATTCAAGCATTTCAAGATGTGTCATAAGGAGAAATGTAATGCATTTTTAGCAGAGCATCATAGGTAACAGAATGTCTCACTCACTCATAACAAAATCATGTATTAATCATTATAATTAGAGCTATGCACCAGGAACTCTTAATAATGTAACCATATATGAAGTCATTTTATACTTTGCATGTATTCATGTAAACAAAAATTAAAAGCCTTGAATTGAAATGTTTTCATGTAAAAGTGGATGTGAGTCAAAGGTAGACATAGTAGAAGGGGGAGATTTCAAGACCATTGTTTGAGAAAATTGTATTCTTAATATAGATTGAATGTGGATTTAGAACAAAATTAATAAATAACTTACTTTTCCCACAGAGTTTTCAAGTACATTGTACTTGAAAACTCTGTGGGAAAAGTAAGTTATTGTACACATTATTTGAAATAGACAACAATTTTTTTGTGTGTGAAATCCTATCTGTAGTCTATACCATTTTGATATTTTATCAAATTTTGTTTTTCTGGTAATTTTAATTTTGCAACAGAAATATGCTGAAATGAAAAGTATAAAACAGTATATCAAATTGAATTAGAAATTCACAATTTTAGAAATCACTTGTGCATAGCTCTGGTCTTAATGATTGTGAATTATAAATCATTTGAACATTTTAATTATAATCTGTTCCTGAACAAAACTACAGCCCCAGATTATTCAGAATTCAAATCCTGAAAGAAGAAATGTTTTGAATTACGTAACTCCTGGGACAGTTCTAGAGAATAAAGCCACCCTGCTAGCCAAAGGTGAAGGACTGACATTCATAGGAAGTCATGTGAGTAGATTTATGTACAGATTTATATACTTATGATCATCAGTTTAGAATATCCTTAAAAAATAGATATGATATTACTCCTGTGAAAACAATGCAATTTAGAGTAAATATTTTTTATATATAATAATTTAGGGATGTCAAAATATTAATTTTCCTTAGTCAAACATTCGATTGCATTATTCGAACGATAGTCGACTATTCGGAGCATTTATTATTTCTTTTTATAGCACAGTTTTTTTGTAAATTGGAAAATTGAAAAAAATCGGAAATGGGGAATTGTAAACACACACTATCCAAATCCTTCGATGAAAATGTTAAATACTGTGCTTTAATTAATGATTGTCCAAGCTATAATATATCAAAATGTCTTTTATGTAAGATTATTGTTTTAATAATTATCTAACTTTAAAACTTCACGATTATGCAAATGTTGTTTGTTCCTAAAAGTATTTGAAATTCCCAGAGTTTATAAATATGATTGACAGAAGTCAATTAAATAATTTTCATAGTCCAGTATAGCGTTGCGTAATTAGTTACTACGTACAATAACAAAAAAGTCAGTGATTGAGAAATAATTACCGAGGTATGTAACTACTGTATTTTCCATAATTTATGTACAATGCGGAAAATTATTGATATACTGTGACTGTGTTTTAGCTCTTATTCATCTTAGGACGTACACTATACATGCAGCTGTATAGTTTGAGGAAGGACCCTTTTTCAATTTTAAAATGAAAATTCCATTATCACTCCCTTTTCTTGCACTTATCTAATATTCGAACGTTGTTTCATTATTCGATCATTGGTCCATTCGACTGACAGTCGAATAGTTGACTATTCGTTGACATCCCTATAATACATGTAATTATATTGTTAAAACATCATATTTTTGTGGGGTTAAATTTTCATTTGCGGAAAAAAAAAATTGGTTCAAGCAGATTAGATTTCATGGTGGAAATATGCATTTTTATGTATTCTAAATTTTATACTTTTCATGGAGGACCCAATTTTATTGATCTCTTTGCACCACAAAACAACAAAAATCAACTTTCCATAAAAAAAATAGAGATTTTATGGTATTTTTAGAACATAAAAAGTATAAAAATAAAAAAAAAATAGGTCTAATAATTAAAAAAAATCAATATTAATAAGGTACTTTTTCAATCTATAATGAATTATGTGTATTGATAAAATACTGTAGAAATGATTGTTGTATTCAGGTTTACAACAGTAAAGAGGGCAACATCCACTCAGGTGCCCCTCCTCCCTGGCTGTTGTCTTCAAATGAGGAGTCTACTAGTAATGAAATAGGTCCTACTGAGGAGACCTTTAAGGCCCACTGTAAGTCAATGACTTTGTCATATTTCTAGATTTAAGGAGGCTCATTACACCCCAGTTTGTTTTTGATTTCATTACAACATCACTAATTATGTAGGTGTCAAATATTCAAATGGGGATGATGATATAAATATTTTTAAGTGCCTTTTTTAATAGTAATAGTAACTTACCAGTTTCAGGTCTCTGAACAGTTCAATTGCTTTTACTTACCCTCTGCATAAAACATTTTAGAAAAATTATGAAATAAACTTGAGTTACCTAAATCATATAAAATGTGTACTGTAGCACAGTTTGATCTCTTAATATGGGTTTTAATATTTTTTAGTGGAGAGAGAAAAGAAGAAGAAACTCCCTGCTAACAGAGTTGGTGCTAATTTTGATCACCAACAGAATACAGATCAGTCCTGGCTTCCCTCCTTTGGGAGGGTGTGGAGTAAGGGAGGCAGACAGCAGTCAAAGTAGGTTATTGTCCATAGGCTGACTAGTTGAAATATTGTATACAGGGTCATTTTTGATCCATTTTATTTTCACCCTTTCACACTTAGAAACAATTTTGCCCCATTTTAAATTTGCCCAGTTATAATTTTGCTTAAGAAATCATGCTGTGTATTAAATTCGCCCTGTTTTAAATTTGCCCACCTGTGGGTGGGGCGAAAGGGACAAAAATAAAATTGGAGCAAAAATTTCCCTGTTTACAATATTTCTATGTGCAGAAATGTGAAATATTTTTCAATTTGAAATTATTGAAACTTCAAGAAGCATTATTAAGACCGCGGAACATTAACTGGCAAAATTGGAAATATACAGCTTACATCATTTCTATCCATTACAATCAAAACATTCAGTGATAGACAATGAAATGGGTGGGTGCAATTCGACGCAGACGTGGGAAAAACATTGGATTGAAATTGCAGATCGAAATTCATTTTCAATCCACCTCAGCTACGCTAGAAGGCATATAGGCACATTATTACTGATTGACTCAGAAGATATATAATTTCAATTTTGGTACAGTTTGAATTTCTTTTGTCCAGTGTTTTAAATAAATTAATATTCAAGGGACAAATGTTTCATTTCTGTTTGGTAAATATATGTATATCTTTGTGTTTTGGGATGGGGGTGTGAACGATTTTTTCAATGATATTGTCCAACAGTTTTCATTGAGAATAAGTATAAAATTCATGCACTGTAGTCTTATAATCCTAGAAATAATATATATTGTCATCTTAAGCCATGACCTGACTCGACCCCCCCCCCCCCCCCCCCCCAAATTCACCCCCCCCCCCCCCCCCCCCCCTTTTAGAATCAAATATCTCCTGAAAAAAATCTTTGTCTTCTATGTTCTTTCGCGTTCTTAAAATTATAAGCTAAAATTCATATTAATGTGAACTTCAAACAATATGTATTTGGTAGTTGAAATTAGATGATTTTTGGATCATACTTTCACTCTTTGCTTTGAAAACAGCTCAGGTGGATTGAAAATGAATTTCGATCTGCAGTTTCAATCCGATGTTTTCCCCACGTCCGTGTCGAATTGTACCCACCCATTTCATTGTCTGTCACTGAATATTTTGATTGTAACGGATAGAAATGACATAAGCTGTATATTTCCAATTTTGCCAGTTAATGTTCTGCAGTCTTAAAAGATTTTTTTTGCATTAGCAATGTAATTAATGTATTCTTTTAAAGAGATCTTTTATTCTAAACTTGGTTAGTTTTAAGGGTACAGTAATATACTATTATTTACATGAAGCAAACTGCATTGTGCACATTTCAAAATTGAAAAGTTTATTCAAGCAATGCATAGCAACATTACGGTTTGCCAAAAGGAACACAATCCTCGTGAATAATACAGCATTATGTATTAGGGAAATCTTTTTTGCTAATTGAACACAGATGATAAAATTTATTTTCAGAAAGTATTTCCAAAGACAACATTCTTCAAAAAAGATTCCACCTAGTTCAACATATCAGACAACTAGTTCAAGAGAAATGGGTTCTTCCAGTTTGACAAGTAATACTGCAAATGACCAGCACTTAGCAACAGACAATATTGTTAATTTTAATGGCGAAAATCCATTTCATTCTAACTCTCCAAATATTTCACAAGTTGCCCCGAATGTGGAAAATCCACAAAGTGACTTTTCAGGATTTCAGCTGGACCAGAGTGGAGTTATGAGGCCAGGTGTCAATTTTTCATATGTTCCTGGAAATGTGAAACCCTATGTTAAAAAACAAAGGATTGAAAATTCACCATCACTCAGTTCAGGTGTTGGGTATGCTGAGCACCACGTATTTGAATCATTTCAACATCAGAGTCAGTTTGGTGTTGATAATGCAGTTGTGAATCATTCCTCCGTATTAAGAAATGTGAAACCATACATTAGAAAACGACGTGTGGAGGAAGCGGGGTCATCTAGTGCACAGATTGTAGGTTTGGTTCCTGTGATACCGACACCGATTTTGAATAATCAATTGAATCCGTCAACTTCAAAACTGAAGAAAAGTACAGGATGAATTTGATGTTAAGTTACTGTTTTAGAACTTATTTTCTGACTTATTGTAAGAAAATATCAAGTAATCAGTATTTTTCTTAGAAAATTTTAATTAAAACATGAACACATTGTACAAATTGCTCAAGGAATGTATAATAATTCTTGTATAAAGGTTATTATGTACAAAAGTTTCAACAACAACAAAAACAGAATTATAAAATGCAAATTTACAAAGCACTATTAAAGATGTATATTTTTCAAATTTCAATGGATACATTTTTCTCATGGAAAAGAAGTTGAAACAGACCTTTCAAACTGGAAATAGAGATTGTCAAGATGCATGTATAGAGTATTTTGAAGAGGATTTGGGAGGGGGATGGGGTAATGTTTATTAGGTGTGGGTTATTGGTTAACTTTTAAATGACATCATGTACATGTATACATTTGAATGGAAACTAGATTGTGTCTATGATAGAAGTGTTATTTTAATCTAAGTCCTGCTGGATATCCATATGATATTTTCTCACTAGTTCCATATCCATAAAGTATTAACCCAAAGGTCACATCCGAGTCTGTGTGATAGATATGATGAAATCCATTGGAGACTTCTATAGTTATGGTAATATATTCTTCTCCGGTATCTGAGTTTGTGACGGATTTCATGTTATTTTGATATTTTTGTATTGGTTTGCTATCTATGAGTATTCCGTTAATCTGATTGGCTAGTATCGTCATGACAACGTAATGGCGGAACGATGACGTAGATGGTGTTAAAAATCTATAGTCGTTTGAAAATTGTTCTTTTGATGGTATTAATGTCATAAACGTTGATTCGTATGATGAAAAAACGACAGGCATCATTATTTCATTTGCTTTAGCTATGCATGGTAGATGGTTTCCGTAAGCATAATAAAACAAATCGGTTCCTCCACCCCGCTTAACGTCTATTCCCGGAATAGTCACCGAATTTTCATTATGGTCCTGAAATTGAAATTGATAAGTATCCTGCCTTGATTCAGCAAAGTTTGGTATGATATATTTGAAATCGAAATTTTTAACTGGGATCATATATTCCATAGCACTGTTTGCTTCAAATATTGAGGAATCGCTATAACTTCCCGAAATCACAGCTATTGGGTTACTGCTTTCAATTACACCGAAGAGATATCCCGTAGCACTGAACTGAAATGTTTGAAATTCTTTAGTTTGGTCAATATGAAGAACTTCATTTTCAGTATAATTAACACCTTTCCATGTAATATAGCTGGGAGATGAAAGAATTGTTAACTTTATTGTGGTGTTTTTATATTGCGACGCAATGGCGATGTTGGCAAAATCACTATTGGACAACAAATATCTGGTCCCCAGATACCGACTCGGAAATACCAGGAACCCCTCTGCTGCAGAGCAGCCGCACTGAATGACACAATGAACACTGATGGCATGTGAGGACCGAATTGTCATGGCCTTGCTGAAAATCCCATCCGAGTCCATAGCAACGGAAACCGGAAGTGAAACTTCTTTTCCCGCGTTGGCGGAAACCTGAAATGTGTTGTTGACTCCAGGATGCGCTGAGTCAAAGACCACAAAGGCGTCCTCTTTTGCTGTGATTAATACCTGCACTTTTGTAACAGACCCCTTGCTTTTTGGAAAGGCGATAAGGAATTCTTTACCGTAATGACCTGTCAAAAAATAATCGCGTTGAGAAGAAGCATGTAAGATAAATCGTTGCAGAGGTTTAATTTTTATCTCAGATTTTGCATGTTTAACACAGAGGTGCTTGATTTTGGTTGCATTAAGAATTTAGTCTAAGTACAGTATTTTTGTCAAAGGTTGACAGGAATTTCTCTGTTTATGTTTTCTTACTGGGTTATCGGATCTTGCAGAAAATTCATATTTGAAAGGAAAAATAACCTTACCGTCATCGCCAGAAGGCAACGGACCAACGGAAGAACAACCTGAAAAAATTAAACGATTATAATTTGTAATTTTCTCTCCCTCTTTTCAATATTGATAATTATTATGTATCATCATTAATCAGGTACACAATTTTACTTGTGTAATGATCGAAGGGTAAAGGTTGGTCATTTTTAGCCTTGTTGAGAGGCTAACCAGGTTTTGCAAAAATGTCAGAATGTGGAATGCAAGGCACTTTTTACTAACAGAGTCAAAAAACTACAGGTGAATGTTGAAGAGAGACATATTTTCATTATGGATAGCATATCTTCACTTGGATAATTGAAATATCTTAATTTACATATTTGATATGGCAGTAACAGTGCAATAGTGTTAATGGAAAAACCATTACAAGGTACACGAGTTCATTGATATATGTTGGGGTTGTCACTTTGTTGTTTTATCGTTTTTGCCAAAATGAACCTAAATATTGCCAGAGGCTAGTATCATGTTTTTACACACAGATACATCTTAATTGTCGAATAAAGAAATGTGTCAATGAAAGAAAAATAATCTAAACAATAATATATCCTATACTTACATGTAGAGAGCTTTTGTTTAACGGAATATAACTCTCCTTTTAGGTTATCCATTTTAATGGCTTGGTCTTTGACAAGTTGTTGTAAAACACTAAGTTCTTTTTTAAGAATATCAGTTTCGTCTGGTCCAGTACAGGTGTCTGCGATGGAACCGAGTCTTTGACCACTGTAAGAATTTGTCCAGTTCATTATCAGAAAAACAACACAAAACACCAACTTTTCGGTTCTCGCCATTCCTCTAACTTGTCAACGAACACAGGTGCAGCGAAAATGATTGAAAACTTTGTTACTGAGTCATTTCAACAAACCTGAATGAAATGTATAAATATAAGTCTATGTAAATGTGTACGCTTGTCATTTTTGTGAACGTGTTGCTTGACCTCTCGCGGATTTTGTTTATCTAAAGGATATTTGGTCGGCTCATTTAGAGGGTTTTGTTTTCATAAGGTATAACATCACATGGTTGAATGACGGGACACAGGATAGCAGAGTATACACCTTGAACGATTTTTGTCAAACATTTATCGAGTCATATGAGTACATTAGAATGGCATCCGATCAGATAAGATGGTGACAGTGTCTTGTCCGTTCTTTCTCTTTTTGGTCGTGTAGGACAATACGTACTTTTTACGTAGGTGTTACCTTTACCGTAAGGATAGATCTTGTTTCATTCAGCTGGACTCGAAATATCATTGTGAACTTGTCTATCAAATAAATGACCATTTTCTTTCTAGTGTGAGTTCTTTTTCTATATTTCAGAATACATGTATTTAAATTATCTAATTATAAATATTTCAAAATATTAAGCAGAAAACTTTTTTTTCGGTTTTAATACCGGTATTTTTTTTCTTTTGTTAACATAAGGATGCAATTAAACATTCAGCTTCCCTTTAAAAAAAAAAGTAATGAGAATTGTGTTAAACCCTCATTTGTGTTTTTAAACATATATACCCAGTATTTGTTTTTAAGAAAGTTGCAATTCCAGATAATATACCAGTAGTAGCTCAAGCCACTATGAATGAAGGTCAATTATCCTTCATTTTTTCATAGTGGCAGCCAAGAGCCTAAAAAAATGGTCCCGTCCAAATCTTCGATAACGATTGGAAAATGTTCGTTCAATCCTTATGTAAAGCGCTCATTTGTTGGGACTTAAACATAGACATACATATACAGTGTCTTAGAAGCGCAAAGGTGTTGCTAGTTGCATATGCGCATCATTGTGTGCAACCTGTATCTGAATGTCGTACAAATTAGAGACTCCGTAATATTCTGAATATGTCCCATGAACACAATGTTATGTGCATTGGATGCTAACGTGATGAGAGCAACTGAAACAAATTCTCCTATTTCAAAGAAGAGGAGGATGTTTTATCCATTTCCCTTGCAACATCTCTATCCATCAGTGTGTCACCTTGATGATAAGATTTTGACATCTGAAGCATGTTATTGCACTAATATAACATGGACAAGAACTTAGGCATTTCCAAGATGGTCTAGTCTGTTTTTTTTTTTAAAAAAAAGCTCATAGACCTTGAGTCCTTGAGCATTCATCCTATGGCTTTGGTACAGTATCAGAACAACTTTGTGGGTCAAGATCCACCATAAACCTTTTATTTATTGTACACCATTGACGGGTACCAGACTTATATATGTACATTCTGGGTACCATACTACTGTACGACGAACTTGATAGCTTTTTATGCCCCCAACCTTTCTCCTCCTACATTTTTTTCTGGATTGCCAATCTTGTTCGTGATACTTTTTGACCAAACACTTGAACCACCCTACCCCCCAACTTTCCCTACTTTGGAAAAAAAAATGATGTGTTAAATGTTAGGAAAAGAAAGTCCGGTTTAGGAATACATTTTTACTCGTAAGATCTACATGTATAGCTCCATGTACTAAAAATCAACTTTGTATTTTTTTTTAAACATCCTCTCCCTCAATCCACTGAATGGCAATGTATAAACTGTTAATAAATTATGTAAAGTTAATTTTAATCATCGAAATGACTCACTTGTTGCAAAACAATTGCAACAGTCACTAATTATCAGTCCACTCTTCGGGGAGTTAAATTTTGTCATCGGAGTATGCTTCCATATTTAGAACTATGATTAATCAACTGTTGATTGATTTATGTCCTTGTACAATTTATTTTTCAAACTTCGTCACCAATAATGTAAACTGCTACGTGTAAAAATAATTTTGCACAATACATTACAACAAAATTAAGTGCTTTGAAAACATTAGTCATAACTTTTGAATTGGAAAAGATAAGGCTTTCATAAAAGACCGTTCCAAACACGCTCTAATATTTTACCCCGTGACATTGACCTTGGAGTTTGATCTACATTTTAAAAGTTTTAAGATTACTTTTACCTTGGTCAATAGGGAAAAGGCTTTAAACCTTCACATGTACATTACTTATAACAGGCCTTTCAAATATACTCTGATTTTTTACCCAAGGAACTTGACCTTGAGGTTTGACCTACTTTTGAACATTTGAACCAGGTTTTAACTTTCGAATGAAAGTAGATAGAGTAACCATACCATACGAGGGCTGTTCAATAAATAATGTCCTGAACTATATAACATACATTACAGATATCATTTGACATTAAACTTGACTTTATCTCATCATTGAATCTTTCATGAATTTATAACAGTTTATGTGACCACTTTTCATCACATTGTTTCATCGTGAGAAGCTGGGAAAAAAGGGCTTTTCGAGACACTGCATTATAAATAAATGGTAAAGAATCAGCAAACTAGAGAGAAAATAAAAGCTTCATTATAGCTGTCGTAAAACTTGTTAAAAATCCCAAAGAAATATTCACTGAAATATATGACATTTACAGCAACCAATGTCTGTTTTATAGACAAAAGATCAGGTAAATTTCAATTATCAAAAATTATATAATGGGCATCAAAAATGGGTACCCTCCTTGCCAACAAAAATTATAAGAACTTATGTACTGGTTGCCAAATTTCAACAAATAATTTTTGATGATGTATGATTGACTCGAAGACAAATAGCAAATTTGATAGACATAATATCGGGAGCAGTTTACATTGTTTTTAAGAAACGTGTAACGGCAAAAAAGCTTGGTCCTCAAAGGTCACCCTATATTTTGAAAAATGAGTGAAAACGACAGCGTTTACGAAATTCTTAACAATTATTTAAAAATATCAGTAATTTTAGTTATCCACGTTTGTTTTATTTTTAAATAGATATTGGAGCATGAATCTATTGATTATAACCCTCAAAACAAAATTTACCATAACATCTACTTGATAAAAACAGCGAATGTCTGACAAGAGCACATAAATTCAAGAGCATAGAGACAGATTTATATGTAAATTTCTTAAAAATTAGTGGTATTGTTGTCCAAATTCGTATTCGGAGAGACAGTTTCTGGAGGAGTCTAGAAAGCAATTTTTTTGCAAAAAATCAAAAGGTTTATTAGAGGAAGGACCCAGAATCAGGAATCCACTACATTGAATTTCTTCAAGACAGCGTCCTTACCCGCATGTCCTGAACAGTAAAGGGGTTTTCGGGATAAACAGAAAGTTAACGTTTTTTCACATTAACAATATTCGCCAAATTTTTTACCTTTTGACTTGTTTTATTTTCAAACTTGAAAAAAAAAACACCCATCAGAGGGAGAAATAAGTCTGGGAAATCATTTGATGGCATTTCCAGTATACTAAGGGCCATACCCAAATATGAGTTCTAACAACAATCAGAAATTTGATAAAAAATGTTACAGACATGTATTTTACTTAAAAGAGATTAATTAGTAAAATCATGAAGACTAAAACATTGAAAAGCGTCTCTTGCTTCTTTCTGAGCACCGAGGACATTATTTATTGAACAGCCCTCGTATATGTGCATTACATGGACATAACGTATTTGACAGGACGTTTCAAAACATACTATCATAATGTTTTTGACCTTATGATTTTGAAAATTGACCTATTTTTTTTAAAAAATAATATTGGCCATTACTTTTGAATCAGAGGTTATAAACACTTCCCATTTTGATTGACCTATTTAAAAAAAAAATACCGTCGATTAGTTTTGAATCACAATTGATAAACACTATCCCAATTTGTGTGCACGTGAACAGAGCATACATGTATGTTGTGAACATTTTAGCGTGATTGTAATGACTCTGAAATATTTTCTTAGTTTCTGCATGAATTATCTTTGTGACCTTGACTCTAGCCAGTCAATTTTTAGTAGACAAGATCAAAGGACAGAAATTTCAGCTTTTCAGTGGTAAAGACACTTGAAAAAGACGTCAGGACATTTAGGTAAAAGCAAGTCTGAATAAAAAATGCATATGATTTTTTATTCTAGGTTGAATGTTCTTACATTCATTGAAAGACTGTAAAAAATTGTCAATTATAATACAGTAAAACTTCTCTAAACCGGCTAGCTGCCGGACTGAATAAAATGGCCGGACTAGAGGGGTGGCCGGTTTCCCGAGAATCTAACATACTGAAGAAGTGTAGAACTGTGTAACAGATGCTAGGAAGAATATGTAATTGGTGTCTGTTATAATTATCTGTCAACATGTTATTAATATATCGACAGACACGTAATGTATTCTTAAGGTTTAAAAAAAAAAGAAATAATTATTAGTGAGGATATATATTCGACATACATGTCGATTTTTATAAGAAGAAATTAGAAAATAAGAACGCAAAAAACATGGAAAGTTACTTTATTAACCATATGAGAAGAAATAAACTAGACACTTTACCTTAACTAACTGCATGTGTATCTGTGTATCGCTTACGTCATTAAAACAAAATATTTGTACTTCGGTTAAAACTAATAATTAAAACATCTCTGAGCAAAACTTCTGTTATTTTAATTATGAAATGTATATTTTGGTAAACATTTTATTTTTTTTTTCCTCAGCATTATTTAACGGTGCCCAATTTTAAGGCCGCTTATGTGTATTTAAAAAGATGATGCAATATGGCTTGCGATAATTTGTTGATTCATTATGTGATTTGAATTTATTAGTTGCTTGATGTTTTATTAATTCAAGTTTTAATTGATGTAAATCATATGTACACAGCTTTGACCGGCCATTTGCCTAGTCTGGCACGATAACTACCCCTTCAAGATGGCTAAACAATAGAAAACCCTATGAGGCCATATTCAGTTTTTCACACCTTTGACTACTTGTGGGTAGGTTATTTTCACACCTCCGGCCGGTCATTATTACCCTTCTAGCCAATGACAGTTAAATTTCTTGCAATCAAAAAGTGGCCGGTATGATGAGGGGAAATTTCCTATGTTTTTTAACTTTCGTTCTTGGAAAAGTGGCCGGTGTCCGGTTTTCGGAGGTGGCCGGTTTTATGAGAGTTTATGTGTAAAGAAATGTTAAGAATTTTGCCGGGACTTTTAAATTTGGCCGATGTTCAGGGAGAACCGGTTTCCAGGGGGGCCGGTTTGGAGAAGTTTCACTGTACAATATTTTATAAATGCTTTGTATTAATTTTTTCTTAATACATTATTTATTCGTACATCGAGAACCGAGCATTTTTTTTTAGCCTTTTCAGTATTTTTTCAAATCCCAAAGAAATCTTTGTGTCTTGTTATAAAGTCAGTACGAACTGATAAGTACTAGCAGCATACACATTTTCCAGGAACTCCATTTACGGACCGATACTGCAATGACCCATCATCAGCTGGAACGGGGAAGGGGCGCGGTGTGTCATGCATTGGGGGGAAGGGGGTCATTGCTATTAACATTCTTTACTGATATGATCGCCTACATATTTGTAGAATCTTGTTTGTTGTGGAGTCCATTTCTCTTGCGATTCTCATTCTCTCCTTCCGGCGGTCATGGCTTCGATTATCTTCACGTACTTTTTGACCAACCATTGCTTTTGCTTTTCTTTCTGAAAGCGGTTTTTGTTTGCAGATGGACAATTCCTGCCGTCTACCATAGGAAGTGGGTTGTTTTGTAAGACTGTGATCACCATCACTTTTGCTTTTTGTCATCTGCTCAAAAGACATTACTGTTTTCAAGCCTTGGCAGGATTTATTTTGTTTAGATGGAATCGGTATTTCCATAGATCTGTGGTCAAGGTGGTACATCTGATTTCCGATGAGGTTGACCCCTGTTCCGTTTGATTTTGGGGGTGTTCTTTGTTCAGCTTTCAGCGGAAATTTGGCCAGAAGCGGGAAAGAGGTTGTGAGCTCATGAGAGCGCATGCTCTGATTGACGTGAATGTTCCTCCTTGTATTGGCTAAAGATGGCAGCTTGCAGGACGAGTTCGGCGGACTGGTAACTTTGGGACTAAAGCACGCCTCTTTTCCAATTATTTGCAACTCTGGGAAACTAACAGCTTTTGCCTGGTGATTTCCTTGCATGAATTTAGACATATTGACAACAGCATATTTCTCCTCGCTAGTTAATTTCATCTCTTTTAGAGGTTGTGGTTTTGGAAACATGACCGCGTTTGTTTCAAAATCACGGAACTTTTCTTGCTCTTTTGTCTTTATATTTCTTGCCAGTGTTTTCACTAGTATTGGATTTACATTGCCTACAAATAAACGTCTAATTATTATTCATTTTAATTATTATCACACCTACAATCAATGTTTGTGCTAAAAATACTTTTATATTATTGTTTAAAGCATTTTATGCTTTTCTCCGATTTAGAAATGGTATCCGATAATTAATCATATACATTGTATTTTGCTTTTATTTTTGGGCAAGCGTAACTTCTTTGAAAGGTATTCTTTTAGCATGATTTCCAACATGGTCTTCGAGATGGAAATTTTGTAAGTTGTGAAATGCATGCATGTTTAATTATGGTGCCTCATTCTCAAAGTGGGGGAAAGTTGAAAGTTAAGAAATTATACACGAAGTTAGCAATAAAAAAGCGACAGTGTAAATCGAAGGTTTTTACAACGCTTGGATCTGTAGCTCTCTGCTTTATATGTCCGAATTTTCTCAAGCAGTTCTGTAGCTACGTAACTATAAGATATATTTCTTACCATCTCCTATAACAAAGTATTTATCCTGGATGGAAGCATCAATTTCCAGTAAACCGTACTCTAGTATAATTTCTAATCTGGACCCTAAGGACCGCAAAATCCTGAAAACAAACCGTATGAATTAAATAAAAAAAAAGCGAAATCCTCATTGTACTGTTTAAAAAAATGTTCTGATTTTTATAAAGAGGCGGACCTGGTAGAGAAATACCCTTTAATCAAGAAACGACAGACGAGCCTAAGTCTAGGTCGGGCCTAAATCATTTGACTTCCTTAATTAACGGAAAATACTCAGACATGCTACATGTACAGTACTGATTTCTCTGTTTTATACTCACTTTTTTGTCTTAGTCATGATAAAGAGACAAACACCTTCGATTTTTACTGCGAAGAGCTTAGTATGCGGTACAAACTATTATGACGTCATAACTACTGTGACGCATAGAACAATCGATTTTGAGGACTCTAAAAGAAGTTATATTTTTTACGACGTTGTAAAGAACAAATCAAAAAGGAACTCTTTACGACCCATGAATTTACAAAACAGTCCTCAAACATCAATTTATTAAAATTGTTTTTTTTTTAATCATAAGACTAAAGAGAGAGGAAAACAGCTCACATTAACACTCATCGCTGCAGTTAAATATGTATTACTCCATATAGGGCTGGGCAATAATATCGATATTTCAATATATTGCAATACAATGACTAAAAATATCGTATCGCAATACGATTTTGTAATATCGATATATGGGCAATATGCTTAGATTAAGGAATTTTTTCATTAAATATAAAAATGGGCTTATGAAAGTTTGTTATTAAGCCAAACAGTAAGTCAGAAGTTGTTTTGTGGGAACATTTCAGAGCATAATTTAAATGAAATCAACAAGATTTTTTTTTCCATGTTGGTTCTTTATCACAGTTATGTACATTCTGCATGTAAATTAAAGTAAATATAGTAAGAAAATGCCATTTTTATTACCTTGAAAATATTGCAATACATATCGCAATACAGTTAAAAATATCGCAATATATCGCAATACGAAATCTCGGGCCAATACCCAGCCCTAACTCCATATGTTATGGTGATGTATGCAGACTCTAGGCTGGCCTTCTCTTGTCTAATCAATTTAAAATAACATATGTATTCTTGCTTACACAAAAGATTCTGACACCACATAAGAAGTACTTTTTAACTAATTAATTTCTTACCATGGCTTTCATTTATTATCGTGCATTTTAATTGTTTACAAACAAAACAATAATAAAGAAACAAAATATTTATTCTGATTTATTATAAACATAATTCGCTATTCTCGATTAATTACTCTACATATTTGGTAATTTTTAATCCAAATTTGGGATTCATTTAGACAAAGGCTATGGTGGCATATTTATGCCATCCACATAATATTTCGTTCACATAGCATATCTTGCCGAGTCAAGATAACTATCTCGTCAAGTCAAGATAACTTTCTGGTTTGTCGACAAACACCGACTTTTTATCTTGTCCAGTCAAGATAAGCTATCACATTTTGTTGCAATAGCTATCTTGACATGTCGAGATAACTTTTAAAACGCGATACAAGATAAATTATCTCTTTTTGTCGAGATAGCTATCGCAAAAATACGATAGCTTATCTTAGCTTACAAGATTAAAATCGGTGTTTGATGACAAACCAAATAGTTATCATGACTTGACGAGATAGTTATTTTGACTTGACAGGACATGCTATGATGACAAAAAATTATGTGGATGGCATAAATATGCCACCATAAAAGGCAGCACATTTTACTTATCGTTCTGGTATATAAGTAACTTAATTTAAATAATAGAAAGGCTCAAAGTTTTACTTGTACTCTCAGAAATTAAGATTCTGGACTAGTGGTTGTAATAGATCTCTGTTCATGTGGATTTCAGAAGATGAATGTGCACACTACAAATAAAAAATTGTAAACACTGTCATTAACATTTTTAATCGATAGGTTCTAGATCTGCACAGTTTTTAATGAGGGCCATGTTATCTTTTTTATTAAAATCATGTTTGCGAAATTTTTCTGTTTCTTAAGTTACCGAGTACCTTGATATTTTTTTATTCATAGATTTTTTTTTAATCCGACATTTTATTTGCAGTATAAACCTCTTATGCATCCTCAGAAAAAAAGTCATTTAAATATGGAAAGGACTGCTGATATCGTTTTTATTCTTTTTATTACATGTATTTCATTATCTTGTGCATTGCTTCGTGGTAACTCAAATGCCTTTGCATTCTCTAACGAACATACTGATCTTGATGTGTATAAGCAACTTCTTCACCTTGAAACAAATCTGGTTTCGGTTTACAGAGATTTGGCAACATTGAGAGAACAAAATCTGCAACAACAGAAAACATATGATCAACAACAGAAATTAATACAGATGCTCAACCAGAGGATTCAGAATTTAAAAAGTGAAAATGGTGTCTTGAAAGACGGCCGGACTGGACAGTCTGAATTCCACATTCTGTCAGCAAAATTGTTCTAATGGTGAAATCACAGAAAAACTTGAACATCAGATGCAGACTCTTTCACTTGCAATCATGGAACTGAACAAATCCAGTTCGGAGGGCATCCACACATTAAGTCATATTTTCCAAGGCATAGAGCAAGAAGTGATGAAAAATATTACCTCTGCCGTCAGTACCCTTACACTGCACGATAGATATTTATCGCTTTCCCTATTAGATGTGCAAAATAATATCTCAATGCTTGGATCATTGCTTCAGGAACAGCAGAAGTTACAAGCAAAACAATATAAATTAATACAATCAGGAATACAAAATCTTACTTCTTCATTCAAGAAATATGGACTCGGCGTTAAAAAACAATAATCAATCAAGAATAGCATAGTTAAACTTAATTCTTCTCTTTCTGATCTACAAAGACGTATGTATGCAAAGATGTTATTTTACTTTTTCTGTAAACAAAAAGTATAAATATCTTTTATTTATAGAAGCTCATGCTATATGGACTGTGGTCTGGACAGCTTAAAGGTAAAGCACCTGGCTAGAGATAAAGGGCAATCAAAGTTTTCTTCAGATTTAAGACCGTTCACGGTAGCCTAGTGGTAGAGCGTTCGCTTCGTGATCGGGAGGCACGGGTTCGATTCTCGTTCCCGGCGCTGCGTCAAACATAAGACGTAAATATAAGTAGCGACTGTTCCTTAGCCAAGCGCTCAGCATCAGAAGTGAAAGTCACGTGTCTTTCGGATATGACCTTAAAAACGTATAGGTCCCGTGTCACGGTAGGCACTGGCACGATGAAGAACCCTCACTGCTCAAAGGCCCTGAGTGCCGAGTATAGGTCTACATTTGAAGCCCTTCACCGGCATACGGTGACGTCTCCATATGAGAGAAAAATTCTCGAGAGGGACGTTAAACAATATACAATCAGTCAATCAATCTTCAGATTTAAGAACAGCAAAGACAATGATTTATCATATTTTTAAGGAAGCATCCTCAAGTAGTGTTTACATCCTGACTCTCAGAAGTAGGGAGGGATCGAATAGTTTTACATAGGAACACATAAGAAAACATCTTTTCAAGAACAACAAAAACAAGCTTGAATGATATCTATATGAAAGCATCCTCAAGAAGTGTAGTTTCAAGTTTGTTCAATTCATGACCGACGCGGGGGTAGGGTCTATATTGAACCATATTAAACCATTAGAAATACATAGATGAAAATCTTTGAAAATCTACTTCTCGGGAACAGCAAAGCCATGATTGGTTATATCTATATGGCAGCATCCTCAGGTAGTATAGATTCAAGATTGTTTAATACACGATCAAAATTTTACAAAGGAATACATAGGAAACATCTTTTCAGAAACGGTAAAGTCCTTCTTGGTTATATCTATTTGGACGCATCCTGAGGTTGTATAGTTTAAAGTTTGTTCAAATCACGACCCCGGGGTAGGATGGGGGCACAATGAACAAAGGAATGCATACTTAGCTTTTCAAATCTTTTACAAAGGAATACAAAGATTTTCAAACCTTCCCAGGAAAAGCAAAACCATAATCAGTCATTTCAAGGCATCCTCAGGTACATGTAATGTATATTCAAAATTGTATAAATCATGAACCCCAGGAGTCGGACAAGATACAATAGAAGATCACACTTGTATAGGGAAAAAAAGAAATACTCTATTGCCATAATACTAGTAAATCAAAGAAATATGGAAGCATCCTCAGTTAGCGTTGATTCATATTTGTTCAAATCATGCCACCATCCCCTTAGGGATACACTGTAGGTTTGGACCGATGACAAATTTGAAGCCTATATAGTAGTAACTGAACAAAATTCAAAATGCTTAGGTGAGCGATGTAGCCCTTGGGCCTTCTGTTTAAAATAAAATGTCATGACATTTTATTCCGAAAAGGACCTTTATACTAGTGTATTTAGCTTCATGATTTCGGTTGCATTGACGTTTTCAGAAAAGTTTTTACCATAACATTCTACTAGAATAAAAATCATTTAGCAGTTGTTTGAATAGCACGTTGATTTTTTAATGTGATTACTTTCCAATTCAAACTACGCAATTGAGAAAAAACATTTTAATTAAAAACGTTTGCACAATGATTTTAGGACATGTTACTTTGACTAAAAATCATATGGTGCCATAAAATTATTCATACCTTTAAGGACAGACGAGACGTTCCTTAATAGCAGATAAATTTTTCTAAGAGTTTGCCATTGAAGTGTTGCTACTTAAACATGCTTACTCACAAAAATTTGAGGTACCTTACCAGGCATTTTTGCAAGATACCAGGGGTAGTTTTTCTTATATAATCCTTTGGGGGAGAAAAATAATTTTCCAATATCAAATGTCTGAGTGTTTGGATTTTTTAAAAACTTTTAGAAACTGGTTTAGACATCAGAATGTTATTAAAATTTTGAATATTTTTCATACATTACGAAAATATACAAAACAGATTTTGAGGAACGTCTCGTGTGACCTTAACAGGTCTGGACGATTTCTAAATATGGAAGTCAAGAACGATAACTGTGAATTGCTATTAATACACGGAATAACAAGGCACTAATCCTTCTGACCAACCAGATTACAGCATTTAGACAAACCCATGAGAAAATAAATAAAACACGTGGTTTTTTAAGATTTTTGCTAAAAAGATTTTTTTAGAACAAACTTTTTGTAAACTTTATGCGCATTTGGGAATATAATATTTATGACAATTCTACCGCGAACAAACACGACTTGAAAGCAAGCTTAGAATACATTTTAAGTGGGATAAAAAATCTGTCTCTAAGAGGCCGGTAGCAATCCCAAAAGTTACTTACGTTAAAAATTTGATATAAATATGATAAATTTTCAGTTTTTAGAGCCTGACATAAACATCTTATCGAAAAGATATCAACTTAATCTTTATCATTTTTGAATGTTTATTACAGAATAGTCCATGC